GCATCTGAAGTCCTCCAGCAAGGAGATGGCTGCCCTAAGGAGAAGGGTCCAAGACTAACATAGATGCAAGTGCTGGAACTCTCCCAACAGCACAGCATCTAGAAACGCAAGTGTCAGGAGCCCACTGCTCACTGGAAATGGCTGGGCTTTTGCAAGCATTCCAGCTGACCATTTGCGAAAGCCGGAGGGTCACGGAGTGGGGAGGCCTCTGGAGGGTGGCGAGAGCAAGGCTCCTCCAACACCTGGAGCTGGCACTGGAGGTGGTGGGGGACACTCTGTTTACAAGGGGAGAAGGCCCCTGCATGGCTCCTCATAGCAGAACGCAAACCTGGCCCAGGGGAGTTAGAACGGGGCATTTGCATTCTGGAGAGCTCTCTTCTCCCCCTCATGCTCTATAAACCCCCAGACTGGGGCTGGCCACTGCCGCTTCCACTGGAAATGGTCTACCCATCCAGCCTACAGCCAGAAATGTTGGGTCTGCGGGACAGGCCTGGCTCATTGCACACGTTGCCTCCCAGCAACCTTCAGCTCCTCCCCACTGTCTCGGCTGTCACTCGTTGAGTGGCGTGTGGGCACCGAAGCAACAGGCAACTGCCCCCGTCACGCCCCACCCTTGACCTGCTCTGCTTGCCCTTCTGGGGCAGTTGCTGTCACTGTCTTTCCAGTGGCTTCCCATGTTCTCTAGCCATGAAAACCAGCATGACGGGAGTCCAGTGGGCTACGCACCTTACTACACATTCCTGGCAGTGTACCTGGTCTGCTAGCAAAGTGAAGGGTTAGGCTGTGTGTTGATGAATGCACACAAGGGGGCTTACCTTCTGGGGTGCCTGCAATCTTTCCTATCACCCCCCCAACCTCATGCATGCCCACCCATCCTTCCCAAACTCCACCCATAGTCCTGGCAGCAACAAGCCCATGTCCTGCCTTAATGCCAGGATACCGGCACTGCCATGGTACAATGTGGGTGTTGACCTGTGATGCTGGTGCATCTTCAGGCTCTGTTGCAGCTTGATTTAACAGCAATCCAAGGCTATTCCAGCAGGTATCGCCAGGCCAGGTGTGTGCTGCCCAGTAAGTAGCTTCTAAACCCCAGTGTCATTCAAGAAAATGAATGCTGTTCTCAGTAAAATTAATGTTGCAACAAATCCAACACAATGGAAAGCATTCCTGTGGCAATATGTTCGAGATCAACCTTCCCCAAACAAACACCCTCCAGCTGTGTCAGATCACACTTCCAGCCATTCTTGATCTGCTGACCATGTTGTGGTGCAACACATCTGAAAGCTGCCAGATTGAGGAAGGCTGCTTGACTTGCTGAACAATATATTTCTGAATGCCTTTGCACAAATTACAATAAAACAAAAGACTGTTTACTGGAGGGATTTGTGTAGCAACAGGGTCAAGCCTAGGGCATTGTGTGGTCGGTAAAATACTTTTTCAGTTCAATCTATTGCAACACCAGGGTTTACACAACTCATTATCAAACAGACTGGTGAAGTTTTATGGAACTGTGTTCTCTGAAGGCCTTTGTGAGCATAAAGCTCCCCGTGGCTCGAAGATGTTCAGCAAGTGATCATCTCTGCATTGTCCCTTTTTGGGGAACTGAAGGATACATTTCAAGGGTGGAACAGAGCACTGCAGGGAATTGGGAAACTGAATGCGTGCTGCAGTTGCAACCAAAATTGTGCACACATCCACATACCTATGTCTCAACTGTGGATAGAGATCATTTTTTGGCATATGTGTTTTCTCCAAGTGCCTCCACAGCGAGTTTTTCGACAAACTGCTTTCCAAAATGCAACTCTGTAGCGCCTTGTGGAGCCCACTCTGGAGGAACTTGGACAGGATCGGGTAGGGGGTGGCAAGCCCCCATGCCAGCAGCTTCTTTGGGTTTTAAAGGGAGTGCTCATGTCATTCCAGCCTGCCCGCACTTTTCCAAGTGTGGGCAGCCCAGGGGCACAAGGAACCCCCTAAAAGTGAAGATCAAGCCAAAGTAGGAGTTTGCAGCGGGGTGAAAACAAGGGACAAAGAAACTCTTCTCTGGCGAGGATTAAAATCCAAGCTGAACAAAGGTGCTGATGATTTCCTCTGTATTTAAACCACCAAAGCTTTCATTCCAAAGCAGAAATATGCAGACTTTGTCAGCATTCCTACTTTCAGGGAGATTTTGGTGATGCTTCTCTGGAACTTAAACCTATGTGCAAGATGCATGCATCTTGCTAGCCCTCAAGCATCTAAGTACAATACCTGTGCATTAACGATGAGCTTTGCACACTCAGTGAGATGTATTTTGAACTGCCAATGTATGGGAGCTTAGGAGAAATCCTCTCATGTTGTTTTCACTGAAAAGGACACACAGAGACTTTTTTTCAAGTTCACATCAGATGACTAGAACCAGGTTGCTGTATATTGATACTTTTTTCGGTTGTTCAAACATAAAGCAATGAACTGCTTTGGTTGCTGTATTTTTTTTCTGTTAAGGAGTATGGAATCCTGTCACTTCTCATATTGCTCTTTAGATAATAAATGCTGAATATATTTGAGTTATTATTATTGCATTGCATAGATATCTTTTCTTTTTTCCTCCTAAGAACCCAAGTTGGCTTATATAGTACCAATTTAACCTCCCAACAACAAGCACATGAGGTAGGTTATCCTGAGAATGAGTGCCTGGCTCAGAGTCGCTCATGGGTCTTCATGGCTGAGAAGAGGCTGGAACCAGGATCTCCTGGGCCCCTTGTCCAACGCTCTGACTACCACACCACTGCGGTTCACATGAGCTATCTGTGATAACTCCCTCTAGCTTAGATCAACTTAGCTTATTGCTTAGGTCATTTCACGAAAGGTGATTGCTGATAGGACAGGGGCCCATGGGGGAATGCTGAGGTAGATGTGGCCAGTGTTAGCCTGCAGCCTTAAGCCAAATCAATAACCATCTGTCAAAGATCGCTCTATTTGCTTCCTTTTCTTGACACCCCAGATCAGAGGGTGCTACCTCACTTTTCTAATGGTACAACTGGCCTTGTCCATACTTCCCCAGAATAGCCTGCTATTTTTGGTAGCATGTTCCAAGGTTCGCTGCATTTGTTGCAGCACAAGTATGTGCATCTGATGTAGCAGACTCTAAGTGTGTTTCCCTTTAAGGTGCCAAAAATATGTTCGTCATCCAGTTTCTGGTCAAGCACTGCTCCTATATTGCCTTCGCCAGAAGTATGGAGAATAACTTTTGAAAAAAAAACCATAGCAGTGCATGCTACACCATCGAGATATATGATCCAAGGGCTAATTGTGTCACATCTATCTTGGACAAGTGCCGCCTGTTATTTTTGAAACTTGCTGAATAGGTATTCCAGGAAACATTTCCAGAGTCCTTATCAGGCATGTATTGAGCAACAGCTGATGGTGAAATTGTGCAGTGGAGGCTCAACAAGCTTTTGCGCAATCTGATTCAATGTGCACTCTCTTTGATGGGGCCTGATCCTGGGCTGCCATGTCTCTGGTTCCAGGAGGCAGCTCTTGATGCGTATCATTTTCCATGACTGACTTGCCAACTTCCTTTACCACTGGTTGAGCTGCCTACAGCTCATGTGGAGTTGGGATGGGAGGTTTCCCAGCACCAGGAGTAGTATTAAAGTTCTTCCAGGAGAGAGGAGACAGGCGGGTCTTCATGGCAGCAGCTTGAGAGCATGTAGTCCGAACCCCTCCCTAAAGCAGGCTCTGCAATGGTGAGGCCTCTGTGGAAACTTACAGAATCACAGAGTTGGAAGGGGAGAAGAAGGCTATCAGGTCCAACCCCCTCCTGCTGCAGGATGCCAGTTTCCACCATCCCACTCGGATGGCTGTCTGGTTTCTTTTTGAATGTCTCCAGTGTGGGGGATCCCACTGCCTCTCAGGGAAGCTGGTTCCACTGTTGCATTGCTCTAACCTTTCCTGGCATCTAGCCTGAATATGGGTTGTCAGTTGGATATAAAACAATGCTTCCTTATTGTTGCATGTTATTTTCGTCATATTCTGAACAGAGTACCTTGATGGACTAACCTGGGAAGTATTGGGGTTGGCATCTGGTGTTCCTTTACGCTTGAGGCAGCCTTGTAAAGGTCAGGCCAAGTCTGGGGAGATCGTGGCAGAGAGACTTTCTGGCATAGTTTTAGCATTATATCAATACATCTAAGTAATCAGAGCCATTTTCCTTTGTTTGTTCATCCTCAGTAATCTTTGTCTTGAATACATTGCTGATGTAGCTGGAGGAACTGGAAGAAATCTCAGATTAAGTCATCCACATTTGAAAAGAACGTAGATATTGGCGCCTCCATCTGGCAGTAAAAGTTCCATCTAATGAGTGGAGAACAGTCGGAGTGCAAGGTTCTTGAAAGACAGGCCGGGGTGAGGTGGGGGGCGTCTGAAGCAACTCCTACCCTGCCTGACCATGGGCTACCCTGGTGGGTCCAACAACATCTGCAGGATCACACATTGTCCCACCCTACTGTGATAAACACGTAGCAGAGGGAATGCTGGCAGCAGATCAGTGGCCTACCCTGCTGTTCCGAAGAGGAAAACAAATGTGTCAAAGGAAATCCCCTCTTCTGTTATAGACAATGGGGACAAAGATGTTCCAATATGAAGCATGAAAGAGCAAAGTAGCATCCAAAAAACATGCACTTTCTGGGACATTTGAATGATATTTTCTCATTATAAGATTAACAAATCCTCTTGGGGAACTTTTCTGTTTGGCGGGACATGTGCCAAGAGTAAATTTCCAGTTCCTGGTGCAAAATTCAAGAGAAAAAAGCCTTGGTACAATCAGCTGAACTTTGCTGCCTCTTCCCTTGGGATGGGATTATTCTGGTCTGGAGGCTAGTAGTGATGTAGGAGAAATTCAACAGTTCTAAAATGTTGTGTGAACTGAACACATTCAGACTTTCTGGGCTGCTCAGAAGACTAGGATACACTGAGATTCACACTTTACAGAACTCTGCTATCCATTTCACAACTCAGTGAAAATGCGTACATTTGAGGTAAGTGTGAGCGTTAAGTGCATATCAGGGGAAAATATGCACAGGGTATGTCACACCATGCTTGCAAAAGAAGTGTGCATATTAGGAAAAATACATCCAAGAATGCATTTATTGGTAAAAGGGCACACAAAATGTGCTGAAGCATTGTGCAGCTGCCTCTTTCTTTTAAATGAATTTTGCTGCATTCACAAATTGATGGGAGCAAGGCTGCCACGAATTTGGGGTCAGGGAAATGAGAAATTCGGTGTAACCAAAATGTGCTGATTCATCCTTCTCTGTGTGGGTTGAATGCCCTGCAGTGGAGCAGCGTCTGTTTGGAGTATGGGATGGGCCATTCTTTGCTGGGGCTGGCCCAACTTGCAAGTGTTTTGATACTTCAAGACCTGCTGCCCTTCTTTTGCCGCCTGTCCCATGAGGCTTTCCCCAGCTCTCCTTGCTTGATTCATTCATGGGATCTGAATCAAGACCAGCACTTTTAGTTATGCCTACCCAGCTCCTTATGTATTGGAGAGAATTTTGTGTCCCCCCAACAAAAAATTCCTAAATATATGTTTGCTATTATCGATGCAGTATTGATAGAATACTTCGACAGAGGAGAAATTAATTTCCAAAAGGAACCTGTAATGAAGTTTTCATGGGCTGGGTTTAGATATCTTGGACTTATCATACTGAGCAGGTGGCCAAGGAATGAGCACCAGTGTCCTGTTTTTCATTGTAGCATCCTCAGCTTCTTATGCTTCAGCTGGAAAATGTCATAAGGTAGTTATGCCAATGGGGATGTATCAGACCAAGAAATGCAGCACGCTAAGGGGAAAGCTGTGGTTAGGCAAGCTCAAGAAACAATAAAGTATAAAACATGCTGGTCAGGTTCACATGTCACGGCACAAAACAGTGTGTGCTTTCCATGGCTTGCCTTTTGTCACCAGAACCTACACAGCAGACAGCCATAGTCTCCATGCAAATGTGGTTTCCGTGCTCCCAGCCACTGAGAATGAGGCTGAACAAGGGAAGCCCATTCCAGGAGGGCAGAAACCTGCCAGGCAAACAGAAGACTGAGTTTTGTGGTGGCAGCAAAATGGGAGCCAACCTGCCAAAGCAGTTGATGCTGTTGCATCATAAACTCCCCGCGAAAGCAAACAAATGTAAAGAAAGAGGTTTTGCTACAAAGCTCACATGTAGGTGAACACTACCTATAAGAAACTTATACCGAATACCTCCTCTCCCTGGAGAAATTTGGTGAAATTGTCTCCTCAGTTCCTCTGCCCATAAGCATGGCAGAGAATGTTGGATGGCCATTTATGCACAGGGCTAATGGGGTGCATCTCATAGGGGTGTTGCTTGCTTTCAAGACCTAAGTGAGAAGATCTCATGTCAGTTTGGGATAAAGGCACACCTGTCATCCGACAGCTGGGCAGGCAACATGGTACCCTCCAGATGTTTGGGACTAGAATTCACTTTTGTTCTAGCCACCATGGCCAACAGTAAAGGATTATGGGAACTGTAGTTCAACATATCTGCAGGGTGCTGTATTGCCTACCCTTGCCTTACAGGAAATTTGAGAAGTACAAGTAAATATTAGCATCCGTGTTTTTAAGGCTGGGTTAGAGCTAAGGTCCACTGGTTTTAAAATGTTTGCATATGCATAAAGACTAATCAAGGAACAAGCTGTAGATTGAAAGTGTAGGTATCAGGTGAGACAATAAAGCAAATACCTTGCTATTGACTAATGATGTGTCAATGTGCATAAAAACATGATCAAACAGGCTTTATTTACCTTTACAAAGAAGCCAGGTAAATTTACTTACCTGGCAAAGAAGTCCTATTGTTAAAAAAAAAAATCAGACAAGATGCTTAGCTGTAAATTTTGGGAATTACAAAAAAGAAGATACCACACTTCTGTTGAAAGCACATCTTGTACAAACAAATTTCCAGATCAAATAATACTCCTTTTAGAGGCTGGAGGGACATTTTGCAATTCAAAGCTGTGGCTGCACTTTGTGGAGAGTAATTTTGCAACTGAAAGCTGGGTTGCACAACTGGAAGCAGTGGCCGCACTGTGATTGTGCTTTGCCAGAATGAAGAAGAAATGCATTTGGTTTGTACCGTAATACAACAACACCTATGGTGTATTTTGCAAGCTGATTTGTTAACCTGAATGTGATTCCCTTCCATTTCTGCCACTGATCTGGATTTTGCCATGCAAGTGGAACACTGCATATAAAAATTTGAACATTAGGGGAAATTATGCACAAAACTCTACTTATTAAGAAAAGCAATGGACAAAACTACATAGCAATTTTCAGGACTATAAAATACTCACAAAATGTGTACAAATTGCTTAACACAATTGGAAATGCGATGGATAGACTTGCATTTGAAAAAATACCAAATATCATAGTAAAAAAGATGGTGCAATACTACCTCATGGTGTATCTTCAGCATCTGGCCTGCATTCCCTCTTTGGAAATAACTTGGAAAAATCCTCTGGGGCCATCAGACATTTTGGATTTCCAGCTCCAAGGTCAGAGACAATCCAATTTCCTCCTCACAGCCAGCTTGAAAAGAGCAATGCTGGCTGCCTTTCCAAGGATGGGACGCATATCTTTAGAAGGGACAAAGGAGGAGGTCTTGGTGGACAGGGAGAAGAAGAGACTCTAGAGGATGGGACATGAACGATTCTGACCATTCTGAGCTTCAGCTTCTCTCCCCCCCAGCTTACCTAGCAAAAATGCAGAGCAGGAGGACAGGAAGGTGAAGATCACCTCATTACTCCTCCCACCCCCATTGCAGAAGATGTGTGAGGACCTCCACACTGGTTTTCAGTGCCCAGGGTGCAGCCCTGGCTCCTCCCCTTAGCAAAATATAGAATCATAAAACAGTAGAAGTGGAAGGGGCCATGAAGGCCATCGGGTCCAATCTCCCACTGTTGCAGGACACCAAGTTACAGCATTCCATTCAGATGACTGTCAGTTTCTTTTTGAATGTCTCTAGTGTGGGAGAGCCCACCACCTTTCCAGGCAGCTGGCTCCACTGTCACATTGCTCTGACACTGAGGAAGCCATTCCTGATATCTAGCCTGGATCTGGGTTGTCACAGCTTGACTTGATCATTCTGTGCCCTGCACCCTGGTATCAGCAAGAGGAGATCTTGAAGAGTAGCAAAGAGTAGCACTGTCCAGACAACTGGGTGCAAGAGGAGGCTGAGGGCCTCCTGTTTAAGTTCAGTTCAACTCTGGCATAAAGACATAAAGGAAAATCACACTGGTGGAGGTGGAGCAGGGGATCACCTATCTGTGTTTCCAGCATATCTAGGAGATATCAGGACGCATGTTATTGGACAGCGGAAAGTATCAGTAAGGCTGTATCAGGATCATGCAGCACATCAGCAGAAAGGAAAAGCAAACATGGCATCAGTACAGCAACTAGAAGGGCCTGTACTCATCTGTTTCTCACCGAGCGAGGAAGCCTGGAGAGCAGGAAGTGATGGGGAGCAGAATTCCCCAGATGCACTGATGCCTCGTTAGGGCTGCTGAACTGAGCATGGGGTATTTATTTATTATTTATTTTTATTTATTAAAACATTTTTATGCCGCCCCATTCGCCGAAGCCTCGGGGCGGCTTACAACAATAAATTAAAAGTAATTATAATATAAATTACAATAAATATGAACATTAAATTAAAAATACAAAAATACAATATAAAATAAGCCAGAAGGCAGCAGAAGTTGTGCGGGGAGGAGAAGGAAATACTATGTCCTTACTAGAGAAGGAAATACTACTAGGAGAAGGAAATACTACTAGGAGAAGGAAATACTATGTGATGGGGGGGATGAGGAGGAACTCCCAAGCATGAGGGGTAGGGAAGGTACATAGGGAGTAAAGAGGGTGGGTGAGGACCAGTGCTTAGGGGCAGGAGGTGGGGTGAGTGGAAGTGAATTCAAGATGGTCTGGTATTGCCCACCATCCTTTCTCTGGGGATTTGGTGGGCTGTTGGTGCTTTGCTGCTGAACACTTCTGGACAGGTCATTTAGACACAACAGAAGAGGCAGAAAACTATAGAAGCAGGACAGCAAACTGTAAGCAAGATGAATTTCATCCTGAAACAGCAGAGAAAGCAGCAGGAGCAGAGGGCAAAGGGGACTGGAAAGAGAATTTCAGGTTTATTTCCTGAGAGCCAGCACTTCTCTGGTCCATTCCTGGCAAGCTGGTGGCAAGTTATACCGGTGATATTGCAACTCTGTTTGCTCCCATCACAGAATTTAAGGGTAAATTGCAAGACTACTCAAAAAACATAGAAAGGAGGAATCTGAATAGCATGGGTTGGGTTGGGTTTGTGAGCTCAATTAATTACATAATTTACATTCCACCTTACAAGATACAGATCCTTCTAAGGCAACTTACAAGTAGCATCTAAAGGCATTCAAAAAATCGCAATCAGTGGTATCAAAATGGAAAGATTCTGCTGTAGATCTGATGGTCACTCGCCCTACTGAGGGAGGGGGAAGTATTGTTCTAGTTGGGACAGGAAGGAACATTTGATGTTCTCTTTGCCCAACTCCTCTTCCAGAACCCTTCCGCTAGATTATTTCCCTCTTCACTGTCAGGGCAGTGAAAAGGTAAGTAGATGGATGGAAGAGAAGCACCAAGATGCTCACCTCTGACTAAGGACTAATATCCAAGCTGGAGAAGGTTGATTACCTTTGTATTTAAGCTACCCGAATTTGAATTCTGGGCCTAGAAATTAAAAGGTTTGCCAGCCCCTCTACTTTTAGGAAGGGTTTAGTGATGTATTTTAAAAATATGGTAGTATGTGGACATGTTTGTCACAGTTCCGAACATTTGTCTGCTCCACAACTCTCTGGTGGATAAACCTGGGCAGAAAAGCAATACAGCTTTTATTTTGAGCTTTATGAGAGCCCTCCATGATGGTGACCCTATTTGGGGAAAGGAGTTCAAAACCATGGATAGCTCCTATAAAGCTCAAAATAAAGGCCACAGTGGCCAAACAGCCTACCGACACAGGAGTTATCAACCTTGACTAGTACATAAGCAAGTCCATGCAATGAATATGCACTCATGCGACAGGAGTACTTACTGCCATTGCAATATTTCTTCCTAAAAGCCACCCTAAGCCCACTCCTGGCAAGCAGATGGCCAGCAGTGGAAAGGTTGCCCACCTGATTCCCTGGAATCCTTTCCATGGTGCTAACTTGGGTTGTGATGGGGAAAGGGCATGGGGGGTCCACTGGACAGTCAAGCTGAAACAAACCCTGACACCTTCCTCCACAGCAACACTCCTGACTCCCATCTTTCACAGGCCAGGCAGGAGTGAGTCCACATGTGATGGTAGGCATGTCCTGAGCGGAGCTGGCTGGAGCCAGGGGTCAGACTAGATGGCCTGGCAGGCCCCTTCTGACTCTCTGTTTCTCTGTTTCTGTGTTTCTATGATGATAGGATGATGCGCCCACAATATGATGTGATCAATGGCACCTTCAGGTGCAGGGACACCGCAGCGTCCTGCATTGCGTGAGCCACTCGGACTGGTAAGCAAAGCAGCAACTGCAAGCTATTGGATATGGGATTGGAGCTTCTTAATTAAATGTCATGCCCATGGGAAACTGGCGTGCCAGCAAGAACAGTGCCAGACTGAGAATTTCCTGAAGGTACCCTGTTTTCTCTTATCTTTAATGTGAAGGAGATTGCGAATATCTTACTGTCCCTTTTATGCAATGTGAAATGGTATAGTCCTAAGGTGCTTGCACCACCTCCTTAAAACAAAAATATCCTCCTACCTATCAGCTACAACTCTGTCTCACACTTCCATCTCCTTTTGGCCCCTTCTATTTCTTTCATCCATTTTATCACACGTCTGGAACAGACAATCCCTATTTATCAAATTGCATGTCTATCAAGCAATTTCTTAAGTGCAGCCTTCAAGATCTACTTCCTCAGCAAAGCCTTTCTTGGACACCATCCCAGTGACTCGTTGCAGGCCCCTCCGCTTCAGCCTGCCTCTCTCAGATCTCATCACTGCTATTCCTCTTCCGTTGAATGGCTTCGTGATGCTCCACCACTCACCTTTTCCCATCAGGTGGAAATAATATACCTCTGACTGGGCCCATCTCCCTGGAACACACTGAGCAAAGGGGGAATGGAGCTTGGTGCCAAGCCCATTTGCCTCTCTGTAGGTTATGAACATTTCCTGGTTGCTGTGATGTGACTCATCTATTGTGGTGTGGATCCATTTCTCACAAAGAGAAATTCGATACAGTTAAAATATTGAAATGGCTTGCTGTTTGGCTACTGCCCCCTTCCCTTTCTGAGAATGTTTGTTCTCGTGTGAGAAAGAAGGGCTGTGCAAGTTAGTGTGCGTGTGCTTCTCTGTATGTATGTGTGTGTGTGTATATATATTAGATGCCCTTCCACATATGCTCTCCGGATGCACAGCAGCCTATGCGAACATACTTGCGCACATTAGTTTGAGCAGAAAGGAGCAGCTGGGATGCGGAGACTCTGTGCCTTTCTCCTCCTGGCAGTGGGTAAGTGCGGTACAGTACAACAGGCTCTTTTCTCTCTAAATGCAGATCAAGCCTGATTTTGCCTGTTGAAAAGGAGGTTAGAATTTGTGTAATGATGGTGCTCTACACCTGTCTTCTAAGGAAGAAGAGACAATCACCAATGCTGCACCTCTCAATTAAAAATGTATATGGTGGCTTAGGGAGCAAGTCGATGGCTTCTTGGCATGGACTAGGGCTTTTCCAGAGCCCCAGCTCAGAGGTCCTGCAGCCTCGGAGATGGGACTCCGACGGCTGGATCTGCACCTGCTCCCTTTGTGGCTGGGGCAGGAAGGAGTGTGTGGACTGCCTTCTGAGCGTGGACGTGTGCCTGGGAAAGAGGGAACACTAGTGTTGCTGGAGCAGGAAGGAGAGACTGCTGTGGCCATCCACCCGTGCTGCATTCAAAGCTCCTGCCGTCTTATTCCCAGCACTCGATCTAGATAGCCAGAAATGGCCGTGTAAGTTTGGAGGTTTGCATGCATATATGGGGAGGACCAGCGGATTGGACCCAGGCTTAGAGCAGGCCCATTGAAATCAATGGAACTTAAATTAGTCTCATGGCTAAGTTCAGTTCTATTTATTTCAATATGACTATTTATTTCTAAGGGTGACTAAGTCTGAATCCAAGACACTGTTTGTTTTTAAATCACTGCATCTGACATCATTACATGCAAGTAACACCAAGCAACAAGCAGACAGATTTAAAAGATGTTGCCTTCCATTCAGAGGAGGTAGCATAAAAACTGATGTCTCTATATTTAAGTCTGAGAAATTCAGGCTGGAAATAAGACATCTGACATATAAAAATGATACAAGAGTGCCTGCAATTAGAGGGATGTCCACTTTGTGCAAGAATGCAGGTGTTAAAGTTATACAGAACTCTTTATCAGGTGGAATCGAAAGAAAGTGTGTTGCAATATATGAAGTCAGTCTTATTGCACAAGCAGGACCATTCAAGCTTGCAAGGCCTAGTTTTAGGTACTGCAGTTCAAAGGGGGACATAACAGGAAGCAGTGCAGGGTGGACTGCTGGGCTCGTGACTGGATGCATGTCAGCGTCCTCTTGCAGGGATCAGATGAAATGACATATCAGTTTATTTCCTATTCTACGGACCCATGTGGATGTTACGAAAAGCACCAACGTGAGTGCCCAATGAAGTCCTCCTGCTTTCCAGAGTAATGTCCAAAGGGAATGCCCATAAAAAGATGTGCCAAGTGAAAAGATGTGTCCATTTCCACTGCACCGATTCCCCCTTTTGACATTACAGTAAGAACAAAAGGCAGCCGCTGTATATAACATTGGAACATTGATTGGTTTTGACTGATGGTTTGCCTGGGTTTATATCCAGCCTAATGACTGAATGATCCTCAAGGCATCTTACAATAGATCATAATAACACAGGTACATAGACATACAGATGCATTCAAACCGCCAAACTCACATGACCAAGCAACATTTAACTCATGGTTGGATGGATGGGGCGAGAGTATGACCCCCTTCAGCTCTCCAGTCCCGGGAAGGGTGGTGGCTGGATCTGAGCACTCATGCTGGCTGGGAGGTGAACCAAAGTTCTGCACAGCTGCTGCTTCTGTGGGCAGTAGATACGGTCAGGATGACCTTTGGCTGCTTTGCTGGTCTTACGGGAAGGAGAAGAGCAGCAAAGAAAGTACTTCCCTTCCCCTTTGCAGTCATAACCCCTTCTGCATGTTTGATTTATTCTGCTCTGTGTAACCAAGCTTATTCTTTGGGAGATATTTATTTGACTTCAAAAAGAGTCCGTGTCGTTCTTACGTGGATCCAGTCCAATGTGCACAGAAAAGGAAGGATTTGCTTTCTCATACTCATTCGCTGCCTGAAATTCCATGTAACTCTCATTGCAGTGGCTTAAAAAAAGGAATGGAAATGCTTTCTTTGAGTGAATCAAGGATTTCTTTCTTCCAGTTTTAATTTCAGGTGGAGGCACTGGAATTTTAAGAAGCAAATGGATTGCAGGGATGGCAGGTTTATTCTTCCCCTTCTGGTGCCCATTGGTACCAGTCAGGATCATACACACTTACTGTAAAGTAAAAAGAGGAGAACTGGGGAAGGAAGGAAGGAAGGAAGGAAGGAAGGAAGGAAGGAAGGAAGGATGGAAGGAGATTATGCATTGCTAGGCATCAGCTCCACTACCTAGCTGCCCATGCTGGGTGCTGAAGTTGGCGCTGCACCAGCTCCCATCACAGTCTGCCAATGGTGTCTCCTCTAGTAGGTGCTTGTCCTTTCTCCAGGCTTTAAGGCCCTAGGTCATGGCCAAAGTCCAGCCACTGAGTCCTGGACCGTCTTCCTTTGATCCCTCCCCTTTGTGACTGATGTGCAATGTATCCGCTAAAGCAGACCTGGCTGTTCATCCACCTGCCCACCAATTGCCAGCCGCATCTTCTTCTACTTCCTTTCTTCAGGTGAACAACAATGGTGTGGTCTCCTTCGGCGTGCAAGTCTCGCAGTACACGCCTGATCCTTTCCCCTTGGATGATGGGTGTCCCTTCGTGGCCCCATATTGGGGTGATGTTGACAATACTAAAAGTGGAGATGTCTTTTGGAGGCAGACTAAAGACCCAGCAATTCTCAGTCGCTGCACCAGAGACATCAATCAGTACTTCCCTGAGATCTCTTTCACAGCAGAGTGGGCTTTCATTGCTACCTGGGACCGGGTGCCCTTCTTCGGATCTCTTTCAGATAAGGTGGGGCTCTCAGGCAGTTGCCTTCAGTGGTAACCTTTACCTGTTCTCCCAACTACACAGGAATGGCTTTCTGTGAGGAGCAACACACATGTTGCAGGAAGCATATGTAAAAAGGCCCAATGCTTCGCAGGGATGGTGGTGTTATGGAGAAGAGGCATTCCCACATATCAGATGGCCTCTTCCAATCCCCAGAAGCAGAAAAACTGTGTAAGCTCCCCTCCAAAATGAGGATGGAGATTGGCATTGCATTTTACAAAATGCTAAATGGATGCAAAGGTAGAACTAGGCATATAGATGCAAGACATGCATATAAATGGAAATATAGAAATAAGTTCTGTCATTTGCATAAAAATGCAATGCATCTCCTGAATGTAGGAAATGCTGTAGCCAGGCAGCCAGTGTGCCTGCCAAGTGCGGACAGACCCTCCCCACTCTCCCTCCTTAGGGCTCTTTATTTTTAATTTAGACTTAGACTGAACAGCTCTTCCAATACAAGATGACCTTGTACAATTGAAATAAAGGCCTGTCCTCTGCACAGCAGGACACTTGGCCACCCAGGAGAGAACTGGCCCACCCATGAAGTAAAGTGAGGCACTTGGTTACTGTTGCAAGCAAAGCAACTGATGCACATTGCATGCTTCTTAAGTGCTCTTCACCCGTATGTCCATTGCCTTCTTTCTGCAGGTCAACACCTTCCAGGCTGTCTTGACCACCGATGAAAAAATATCCTTCATCTTGATGAACTATTTTGACATCCAGTGGACCACAGGGATAGGAAGTGGAGGGGATCTTCTGACAGGCCTTGGAGGAACTCCGGCACAGGTACCTCCAGACAGGTCTTGCATGGTACAGCAAATATTACTCTGGGCAGTTCTGGACCAAGGAATCAAAGTAACAGAGTAACTTCCTTTCTGGTGTCCAGCCAATGGGTGCTGGGGTAGCCTCTTCTTTTTCCACTGATCACTCCTAGCATGATTGACTTTTTGAGTGAGTCAGCTCTTAGGACATGGCCAAAGTGTGACAATCTTTGTTTGGCAATCTTGGCTCCAAGTGATATTTTTGGAGATTCTCGGTCTAGAACTTCGCTGTTTGTGATTTTTGCAGTTCAAAAACATCCAGCTTCTTCTATCTGCCTTGTTCAGAGTCCAAGTTCACAGCCATATGTAGCAAATGGAAAAATTATTGCATTGACTAATCTGTAAGACTGGAAAATACATGGGTTTTTACCTTCATGTGACTGTTCCCTGCTCCCTTCTCCCAGGCTGGATTTGACAGTGGAGACAAAAAAAATTATTACAACATCCCAGGTTCTCGCACCCCTGAAATCCTCAACATTGGAGAAACCAGCAATGTGAATGTGCCTGGGCGCTGGGTGTTCCAAGTGGATGAATTAATTGGAGTCCCCACTGAGAAAATGGAGTGTTTGCAGTAAGTAAGCAGCAAGACAGCGCTGCACTCTGTTCCTTTATTAATTATGTCTGTGAATACTTTACTAGATCTCACAGTTGAAAGAAATCTGTGTTGCATTAAAAAATGTGCACAGTAGTCTTTATTCACAGGTGCGCAGGAAGGTGCCTATGCCAGATCAAACAATGGCACCCTCTCTCTGGGGTCTTGGACTGAGGTCTCTCCCATGGTCTGTTACCTAATTCTTTTATCTGGAGCAACCAGGGATTGAACCTTGGATCCTCTGCATTTGAATCCTGCCTTTCATTCCATTCCTGACAGATTCAAATAACCATGAAACTGAAGCATTTGGATTTAAAGCCATTGCTGGGTTTAGACACTCTGATAACCCACATTCAGTGGTTGAGTATGGTTTGTCATTGCACTGCGTTGCAGCTGAAACAAGGGTTATTATGTTTGAGCCCAGTTGTGCTAATTAACTATGGTTTGTTAACCACAAACAACCTGCAGTTCACGACCCAGCAATGAACTGAACTTTTCATAGCCATTCCATGCTTAACAAACCATGGTTTGTTAGCATAACTGGGTTTACACAACACAAAAAGAGACCAGGGCAACCAAGTCTGGGAAAGAAAGTGGGATTCCAAATTTACACTTCTTTACAGAAATTTTCACATTTACTGTTGGGAAGCAGAAGAAAAAGAAAATGAAAGACATCAGCCCCTATTCGCATGAGAGTTGTTTTCCAGAAATGTGGCCAAATGGTTATGGAGGACTGCCCTCAGCAAAATAATGCTTGCCTTCTCCTGGAACGCCCTTGCACCCCTGGCTGGATGCTCCAAAGCCACCCTGGAGTGCAACAAGGTCTGCCAAGGTGTACTCATTCTTTACATAGTACACAAATGGGACCAGCTCACTTTAGATTCAAGGACTCTGTTTCGCTTCAGACAATATTTACATAGTTGTGTGCAAAGGATAAAACCTTCCGGAGAAAGAACCAGTTATGACCAGTTATGTTATACTTGACCATACACTAAAGTACACAACATCTAATGCATTCGTGAAGCAAACTCTAGCCCAGGAGAACTTGTGCAGTCGCTTTCCGGGCTGAATAAGAATCTCTCCCAAGAGACTAAGCAAACAGGGCATGGCTTCTTGATTTTGCTTTCCCAGTTGTTCATATGTCATAAGTGAGTTAAAAACCCCACATATGCTTATGCTTTCCCAGTTGTTCATATGTCATAAGTGAGTTAAAAACCCCACATATGCTTATGCTTTCCCAGTTGTTCGTATGTCATAAGTGAGTTAAAAATCCCACATATGGTTACTCAGAATAAAGCCCCATAGGACTCACTCCTTGATCAGTGTGTTTAGATTATGTGGACCTGGACATGGGTGGGACATATTGGGGAAGGCTGTTAAAAACGTCTCTGAGCTGATAAAACTGCTATGGGGAGTGGGAGGGATGCAAACTTCCTTCCAGTGCCAATGTTGCCTTCTCTTTTTACCAGGTGAAAGCTCTTCTCATTCAGAGGATCTCCTCCTTAGTCACCAGCAACAAGGCAGGACATACTCAAATTCTTTCAAGCATTCCTCTGCTGCCCCCTACAGGCAGGGAGGTTTCTGGAACTGCTGTTAACACCAATAAATGATCCTGCACACATTGCTGCTGTCCTTTGTCCATTTCCTGGGTGACAGAAGCTGGGCAAGAAAGAGGAAGACAAGGAATGCATGAGAACGTGTGCGTGTGCGGACTTGTGAATGCTTTTCATGGGCAGAGGAGTGCCAAGCTTACTTCACAGAAGGCATGTCCCCCCAACTTTCTTCTCCTAACCACAAGTGTGTGTTTGGGTGGGGACTCTGGTAACTCAATAGTAAGGAAATTTTGCACTTGCTGGGAACACCCTATCATAGCCAGTCCATTCTAGGTGGAGCCGTTAATTTTCTTCCCCTGACAGAGTTCTTATACTAGTCTTCCTTATCTGGGTGCCCTCCAGATATTTTGGATTTCAACTCCCAACACCCTCAGCCATCATAGCTAATGGGCAAGGATGCTGGGAGCTGTAGTCTAAACCATTTGGAGGATGCCAGGTTGGAGAAGGCTATTTATGCCTTCAGAGATTGGCACTTCTTTCTCTACGGTTAACCCCTATAGTGCAGTTTACTCCTATACTGTGTGTGTGTGTGGGGGGGGCGGGTTAGGGTTAGGGTTAACACCTGTTGAAGTTCTGCCATTCATTTGGGTAGAGAAAGCCAAACAGAAGCAGGTAGCTGCCCTGATTCCTTCCAGGTATGCACCCTGGCTTTGAAAAGTGGTTCCAGGTGTTGAGTCAGTCCCTTTGAGATGCATGGACTCAATTACTGCCATTTCTATGTGTGTTTTGATGCCACCAGTGAGCTAATGTTTACACCCGAGATTATGTAGAGCTTAAGCAGGATGTATGACTGCTGAGTGAGGAGGGCCAGAAACAAGGCTTCACAGGATTATAGCCAGGCAGTAGCGATTATAAGGTCACCCATCACTGCTGTGCCAAAATTCTGCATGCAGATCCCTGTAATTCTGCTAGGCACATTTTGGTGGCAATTCAGAAAGTGACATTTCAAGGTTCATGCTTGCTAAGCAAAACAGCTGAGGAACTCAAATAGCAACCATTAGAACCAAATGTTTCTCACTGATGTTAGTAAATTTTCCCTGGATTCTGGGAGAGATGAAGCAAAGTGCCTGTCCCCAGGGCATCTCCTAAAGGATGGGTGAGCAACACAAAGTTTGATGTATCAGCAGACATCTAGGGGAGTTGCACCATGGGCAGAGAACCATGGCTGAGACCCACCCAGGCCTCACGGGCCTCCAAGCAAGCCAACTTTGACAAGTTTTCCAACAAGGAAAGCTGGCCGGTCAGGGCTTCCAAGCAAGCCAAGTTGATATGCCTAAGGAGAGCCAGAAAAGTTGCCACTTGAAGGTCTGGGTTTTTGAGCAAGCCAAATCTGATGCTTCGGCTGTCAGCAGTGAGAGTTGCCTCCCTGAACTGGGGCAGGTCTGGTGAGGTCCACCCATGGGGCTGGGCTGCCCCATTCAAAGCAAATCTGACCCACTAGAGGATGTCCAGAAGTCACCCTCTGGGCTGGGGCAGCGCAGCCAAGGTTCATCCACATGCCAGGGCCTCTGAATGAGCCAAACTAGACACATCAGCTGCCAGATGTGAAACCTGATGCATATAATCCTCTGAATTCACAATCCAAAAGCATTGGATTATGCTACAACTCTGCAAGAATAATTACTCCTACATACACAAATGCCCTGAAAGACAGGTTCGTTTTAGACCAGCTTTCAGCCTGGGAGTCAGACTTCATAAAGAGTTTTCCCTCATTATTTCTACTTTTCTTTGTCATCATCAACTAACCAACCCCTGAACTGCAATGAACATCAATTCCAAAATTACCTTTGCTTTTCCATTCTTTCCATCCTTTTTGCTGGTCTTTATTAATCTTAATTTCTCCAAATTGAGGCAGTTTACTGTTCATACTGTGACAACTTATACGTGTCTACTCAGAAGTGCCTGCTTTAAATGAAGCTTTCTCCCAGGGAAATGTGTATAAGGGTTACCTCTTGAGGCATACGAGAACTTTTCTACACCTGCCAAAGTCCATGCAGTGTTGGCTGAAGCCACAATCCTGTGTGTGCACAGTGCAGACACAAAAATCCCAATGCCTACAAATCCCAATGTTCCCTGTCTTGCATAGAAGATGCAGGGAGATGAAGGACTTTTTTAAAGCTAAACATGCAAGGGATTGACTTAACTTCACTTTTAATATCCTTAATTTGCAAAACTCACCCTTCCGTCCATAAGAAAAAATATTTATTCCACTACATGGGGTGATGAGTTCACCAAGAAAAGGTGTGTATACTCTCACCAAACAACTGCTTCTTAATCAGCGTTAATAGGGTTACAATCCAGAAACTATTCTTCCTTTCAATTCCCCCTGACCTCATTTTTTACAATTACTTTCCACCAGTGTGTGTGTGTGTGTGTGTGTGTGTGTCCGTGTGTGTCCATTTGTCTGTTTGTGTGTACACCTGTAAGGCACAGGATAACATTTCACACATTTTATGAAATAGTGTGTACTCCATTGCAGTACATGTAATAATAAATGAGTCCCTTAGGTGCCACGAGGGTGTAGTGCCTTTGCAACAGCATAATACAGCTATACCTCTGCAAATAAAGACAGACAACAAGGTCAGCTTGTTTAGTTCCTTATTCAGAAAACGAATGACTGAAAATGTGTCCATTTATGAAAATATTATACAAAAATTTCTGAAAGCGAGATAATATTTACATACTGTACAAGTAGCATTTTCCTTACCTGTGCATTCATATATTGTTGCAAATTGTATCAAACATAATTCCAAAGATATTTAGTGTTTCTTTTTCTTCTTTTTCTTTCCCTTTCTTTCCTCCTTCTTGTTACTTTCATGGGTTCTCCCTTAGTTATGTATTATATTTGCTACATTTCGTTTCTTCAATTATTCAGACAGTTCTGAATTACCTAATTCCCCCTAAACCACTTTTAAGATATGCCTAAACAAACATTCTTCATTAGCAAAATCTTTCTCCACATTCATTCCAACTGTTCTGTGCAGTTCATGATAGCCATGTTATTTGACTGAGTTTAATAAAACAGCAGTGCTTGCTTCTTATGCAATAGGTATAGATTTAATCTTCTTGCTCTTGGCTTTGCAGTTTGAAATGGCAGCCCAGGACTGGTGGATCAGCAGCAGAAGATTGGGGTATTTCAGGATGAAGGCAAGAAGGTGGCTGAGGAGCAGCATTGCTTGGGGTTAAGTTCTGATAAACCACCAAAACCTGGAGACAGGAACAGTCCATGAGTCAGTTTTGCAATACATTTACTGGGCAGCTCAGAGTCTAAATTTATTGTGCTAGCTATGTTAGACATAACCTGAATTGTACAGGGCTGAAATGGTAGTCAGGGCTGGATCTTTTCTGAACTAATAAAATAAAATTCTGCACCAAGCACTGTGGATTTCTGTAGCTACTACAAAATGGCAAGAATTTGTGCAATGTCCCTCTGTTGTACAATGTTGTGCATTTTTTCACTTTTTTTCTTTGTCATGGGAAGAGGGGCACAGAGCACTTGGCTTCAGAAATTTCAAGTATTTATTTGTAAGTATAAGGACCAGAAACATGTTTTCCGCTGAACGCTTAATGGTACTTCCAGATCTAGCACTAAGAATCAGGAAACATTGTGCAGATACCAACATTAAAGCTCTCCAGCGAATAAGGCAAGGCCCATTGCACAATAAATACCTAGTCCAGAAAGCACCCATAGAGATTATAGCTAAAGAATTGGGGCTGCTTGTTAATACTCTTCATGACACTCCACCCAAGATTTGGTCCAAACAAGTTGATTTTCTACCACACCATTTCCTCCCCCTTTCCCTTTTCTCAGTCCTCAGATCAGGCAGCTATTTGATGAGGCTCGGGAAAAGGGCTTACAGCACAGGAAAGCCGCGGCTGTATCAACCAGAATGCTATGTGGACATTGGCTGCTGGTGACTGGGTGGCCATTTTGAGTGGATAGCTGCCAATCAGGTGATGACAACTGTGAGCAGTGGTTAGCTATACAGGGTAATAACTTCCTCGGCATGCATTGCCATAGGATTAGTCCAGGAACACAGCTTTAATCCCAAACTGAAACATAAAACCATTTCTTTGTAAACCACATTTCTTAATTGTTCTCTTTTTCTTTAGGTCTCTTTCCCTTAAAAGAAAAACTTCCTCATCAACATCACTGCCACCAGCACAAAATGGTAACGCTGCTTTTGATGCAGCCCATGACTGGTTTGGACACAACCCCAGTCTGGACTGGGATCACGCCATCCACATGAATACAATACAATAGTCTAACAGAGGTAAGGGGACCCATTTCTTATTCTTATTTCTTATTCTCCTGGGTTGATCTTTCACATCACCCAATATTATTATTATTATTATTATTATTATTATTATTATTATTATTATTATTATAACATTTCAATACAAGCAAGCCTATCAACAGCTCAGCTACTATTTCAAAAAAGAAAGATCTGATATGGGTCTTATTATCTGCATCTTAATATTTAAATTTATTTTTATGTCTTAAAGCTTAACTAATACTCTTAAGCAATTTAGGATAGCTAATAAGCAGTGTGATGATCTGAGACCAATAATAAGGATTTATTATAATTAGTTATAATATAATTGGTAAATTAATCAGTCTTAAAGAAATTTGAAGCTATACTGTTTTAATGTTTCAGTAATTGAGATCTTTTTTTATTTTTTTAGTGTTCAGTACATTTATTTGTTATTCTTCATTAATCTTCACAGACTCCAGTATGTTGATATTGGTAATTTTGATGGGATTTTTCTAAAGTCTTTCTATAGTCTTGGAAAAAACACATTGAATATGATGCATTTAATATTTGAGTAATACAATCCATTACTGAGGAAGTGGGAAAGCCATTAGAATATTCTGTTCTCTGATAGGATATTGCTAATCCGAAATGTGTGTGAAAAGACCTCTACACCTGTGAGCAGGTCAGTGGATTCAGTCTGCAGATATGGAAGCATAGCAACTCCCGAGGATAAATCCCATTTTGCTTGGCAAAAGGAGCACGCAGATGGAAAGATAAACACTGATTCATACGGATCAACACTTTGACAACAAATAGGACCTGCTCCTGAGTCTCTTTGTCTAAACCAGCTACTGAATTCCACTCCTGGTTCAAGGTTACCGTTTCAGAGTAGGCATTCTGGCACAGAGTCTTGCACCCAAAGGCAGCAGTGGACAGGGTAATGCAGGCCTCGAGGACAGTAAACAATAGAAGAACAATTTGTATTGCAAACTCAGTATTCTGTCAACAGAGATCCCAGCAAAAACAAAGAAATTACTCTCCAGTGCAACACCCACACACCCACACACAGAACATTCACTGGGAACAGAGGGAAAGCATGCAAGACTGCCAGCAATTCATGAGACCTCTACTGTTTTAAGTGCATAGTTCGTTTTTTAATTAGGTCTAGTTTTTAATTAAAACGATTTGGATGTTAAACCCTTTTCTATTTTTGTATATTGGGATTTTAGCTGTTTGAATTTGCAGAGTGGAATTTTATACTCTGATTTATTGTATTTGCATTTTTCTTGTATCTTTTGTATTTGAATAATTGTTGCCAACCAGCCAGAGAGCTTTGGCTATTCAGCTATATAGAAATCCATTAAATAATTGAATGAATTAATAAATAAGAAGGAAGCACATAGAACTTCAGCAGTCCCAAAGCAAATTTATCAGCACTGTATCCTATCCTTCTTATTCACATTCCTTAGAACTCCTTTAGTTATATCAACCTATATAAAGAATGATGCTGGTGACACCATGAAGAATATTCTCCCATTAGCGACAGGACCCACTGGAAGATAAGATGCCCCTTTTCTTCTTGTCTTACTGAGGTACACTTACCACTGGGACAATTGTAGTACAGTAACAATTCTGAACTAAGTGTGAATCGAGACTCTTGCAATCATGCAGGAAAAATGATTCTTGGTTGGGGGTTCTCATAAAAGCCATCTGGATCGGTAATGCAAGAATAGCTGCCACGGCACTCACTACATTCGTTCCCAGCCTTTTACCTAGTGGTGACAAAGAGCTGTTTTAATATGGGATGTTGACTCCATTGAGCCCCAGCTGCTCTCTCAACAATAATAAAACCGAGGCCTGGTATCTCTCCTGCTACTTGGATCTTCTGGAAAGAGTCTGAAGAAGCATTCTGCAGTGACCTCTCTTGATGAAGAAAAGTTTCTGAACTCTGAACCTGGAATAAGAAAGTGGGACATATCCAGAGTGGCATGAGCCTTTAGTTCCACTTGTAGTAGATTGTCTGGCAATCACTGAGCCCTGATGGGGAATAGAATGCCTGGAATTTCACTGGATCAGCCTTCACCATCCCTGGGAACTCTCCTACACTATCAGATACTGACCAGCAGTCTCTAGCGAGCTCCTATTTGCATATGTGCATATTGGTCCCAAACTGGCTTATCTGACTGACCAGATCAAGAAAAAAATCTTGGCAGATGTTTGTACTTCTGGTCTCATGGAACCGAAGAACTCACATAAACAGGTGACTCTTACAGAGATTCACTACCTGGCGCTATCTCTCTGTCTTACCCACACTAGTCCAACACGTCTTCTGGCTTAATTCCACCTGTCGGACCTCACAAGGAGATCCATACAGCTGGCTCAACCAGAACAGTTTCAAACCAGGAAAGAGTCTTAAATGACAAGCAACAAACACCATGACTTCTAGGCTCTATCTTATTTTTTCTTATGACATCCCAACATTCCTTAAATAAGTTTGTTACCAGTGACATCTTGAGCTTCCTGGCAGCTGCCACAGAGAGAGAGCCTGAAATAATGGACTATAAGAGATGAGAAAAAGAGGTCAGAGGCGATGAACACAATTCAGAAGGACTATTCCCCCTGCCACCCACTGCTCTGGTTTTGTGCCCTCAGTCATAAAAAGGCACCTGTTATACTGACCGTTGGCAAGCAAAGGCACAAAGGCGAGCAAACAGATCCATATGAATCCAATGACAGATTCAAAGCTCCAGAACTACAGAATTGCTATCCAGTGGAGTGCAGAAGCAACGCCCCGCCTTCCCTATGCAGATGAGCATCTAGATGCTCCTGTGAACCCCCAGGGGCCCCTTGGCCAGTGGCATAGTGGAGTCAGGGTTATTAGCCAGGGACACTGACCTCCTGCCCCACCTGCAATGTTCACAGTAGTCCAGGGGAAGGGTTGAATGTTCCCAGTGCCGATATGCTGTTCGTTTGATAATGTAATTACCTGGGGGAAGCTTAATGGGTCCATTAAGACCAAATGCCTTTACAAATGACCTGCTGCTAGGAGATGAAGACGCATGGAATGGGTGTGTTGCTATGACTCAGCACAGCTCCCTGCCATTGCTTTCTCCCTCTCAGAATGTGTCCAGGGGGACTGTTGCAGTGAGCACCTGCTCTGCAGAATTTCCCATGACACCACTATTTGGGGCATCACTGCTTTTCATTCTAGGTTTGCTGAATTACCATTATTGATTCTATCCTTCCAGCAAAGAGCTCATTAACAGGACAGAAATCATCCTTTCTCCCTTTCACCAAATACTCAAAACAGGCTGCCAGATGTGTTGGACACCAGCTCACTTCAGCCCTGGCCAGGGGCTGTAGTCTGTAGGGTTTCAGGGGCACCAGGTTGGAGAAAGTCAAGCTAGACACAGAAATACGATTAGAGTCAAATCAGCCAGTGAGATTCCAGGTCAGAGGGCCTTAGAGACTGGGTCTTCTCAGTTCTTTGAGCACAACACCTCCCTCATTTGGTTCTTTTCCTATGCTCAAGATAGAGAATTGTCTAACACTTCCAGTTCGTCTATAGCTGAGTCCCCCATCTTCCATTCCTTGCATTCTGCAATTGCTAAATGACAACTATCCATTCTGGACCCAAGTCAGGGTAGCAGATGCACTCAAAGGCATGGAGATGGGATGGAAAATGGCATCAGCTTTTGTTATTAATTCTGCTTCTGAAATCCAGAAAGGAGATCAAGGGTACATGCAGATCAATAAAGCCCATCTCATTATTATTGGAATACATTTGCGGCTTCAATTTTTTCTTCAGGCATTCTTTCCTTGAGTTTGAGTGCATCCTCATGTCTAAAAGGACTAGAAACTTTCTCTTTCAAACAAAGTTATGGCTGAAAGTGCCACAAACTCTCTCCCCATAGCCAAATTCCATGTCTTCACACTGCAGATGCAAATTTATGAATGGGACTCAGCCCTGACTATGTGACAAGGCTGGTGTTGCCTTTTAATCTTTGAAGCCTGTTCTTCATCTCTCAGATTGTTCACTGGTTCTGTAGCTGGTGGCAGCCCCTCAGCAAAAACGGGACTGACGGGACTCTCTGAAGCATGGCAGTAGCTAAGCAATCCTTATTTTAACATGCAGTCCGTAACGCTGCAGTTCACTCACACAGTTAGGTAGATTACCAGGTTCCCAGTGCAAACTGATGCCAGGGAGGTCAGGAAGAACTGGCTGAGATACTCCACCATGAACAATACCAGCCCAAAAGCCAATGATGATAGTCCTATGAAGATCTGTGTGATCTGCAATGACAGCATCGAAGACAAGGTTAGTGTCACCTTACCTTGCCTTTCTGGATTAATGGAGGGACACTTTACATATGATGCTTGTCTGGAGATGGAGGGGGGCTCAGCTTTTTTGGCTCCACTGGTCTCAGAAGGCCGGGGGACTGCTGGGGGCACATATGCTCCATGGAAAGATGGAAGCAGATGGAAGCAGGCCCCATGAGTGTTGATGCCTTGATCATCTTCTGGGAAATGACTTCAGAGAGTTGATTCTTGGAGTTTCCTCCAGGAAGCAGAATCTCAAAAGCCAGTTCCATGACTCCAAGATCTAGAGGGACCTTGTCTGCAGCAGGATGCCACCTGCCCTTCAGCGGGAGTGGACACTGGAGATCACTTCACATGACTACTCAGCTCTTAATCTGTCCTTAGTCTGCATTCTTGCTTTGTAAATTTAAAAGGCATTAATAGCCAAGAGGATTCTATGGGAGAGGAACAAAAGAAAAATACTAGATCATGGGAGACTGATCTCAACCCACCCTTCTATCTCCAAGGCTATACATTATAGGGGGATAGCTTATATGGGACAAACTGCCTTTCAGGGAACTTTCTCTGCCACAATTGATGATCTTATCAAGGAAGCCCATCCTTCACCAGAATATACTCTGGCAGGTCTGCAGGATCACCAAGGAGAAACCACATGATTTGCCTAATTGCTCTTGCAATATGCAGGCTTCCGTGCCATGACAGCACAGTGAACAGCATGGCAGAGGTGCCTTCCCAACCGCCCATGGCTTGGAAGTCAGGTTCTTGGGTGGTTTGGAAGCCAATCTCTGTGCACCATGAGAGTATTAGGTGAATTGCTTGACATGCGACAGCAACTTGGGGATGGAGAAAAGAACCCACCATGGATTCTGCTGTCTAGAGATTGTAGGAACCTGCACTCTGGGTTGGATCCAACTCAGCCATTCCCCACCATGAAGCTCACAGTGAATGGGGTCCATCACTCACTCTCAGCTTAACCTACTCAGAGGGTTGCTATTGTGAGGATAAAAAGGAGCCATGGAAGCTGCTTTGGGTTCCTCACAATGCAATGCAACAACAATAATAATGTGATGATACCCATTGAAATCAATGATACTTGAGTTAATCATGCCTAACTGGAGTCTCATTGATTTCAGTGGATACCTTAAAGGAAAACTGCATCTGGATCTAGCTTTCTGAAAGCCACCAGGGCTCTAGATTATGCAAAGAAATTCCAAAAGGGGGTTAGATAGTCTTTAGTTGTCCATATTATCACCCACACAATATTGAAACAGCATTCTCAGGTGTTCTCTTACTCACCACCAGGGCCAGTGGCTCACCCAAATAAAACTTCTTTAGTGACTTTGGCACAGGATTCATCTGAGGAGATGAGAATGGTTGGGGCATAATTGGGATTGATGTAACCTCTCCAAAGCTCCCCGGATCCATGGTGATTTGGGGGATCAGCCCTTGCAGAATCACAAAACAGCAGTGCTGCTGGGCAGAAGAAATCAAAGAGGAAAGTAAGCAAGGAACTTAACAGAGGAAGAAACAACAGGGAACTGTTGTCACTTTTTAGAAGTGTTTAGCTCCTGGAAATGTTTAGCTCCCAGGTCAAGGAGTGTGGAGGGAGAACAGTTCAATATTTCTCCTTCAGACACTGTATTCATGTAAAACAGCTGCAAAACTTCAACACATGCCAGTTTTCTAGCACACCTGCTGAATTTTCACCTTGCTGTGGAAGTTTTACAGGCAATGGTGGGTAGGTGGAGGGAGAAAACCTAAAGGAAGATGGAAAACTCCCACTGGGTTAGTTGCTCCCTGAGACTATGGGTGCTTCTAGAGTAGAAGTTCCTAGAACTTCTAGTCAAAAAAATGTGCACGCTATTCCACCTTTGCTTCCGAAACAGATGTTCTTTGTAAGACAGGAGGCTGAAGAGAAGGGAAAAGGGGAAGGCTATGAATAGTGGATCTTGACAACAGGATTCTGCCTGGTGAATTGATATGAGTGTCCAATAATAGCTTTATCTGAAAGAGTGCTTTAGCACTGAATGGGGAAAGTTGCACTTCACAGCCTTCTCCTTTCAAGGCAATTCTTGAAAAGGCACAGGGGCATGTCTTTGGCTTTAGCAACTTAAGCCAGGATGACTTGTTGCTTTATGTACCATCAAGTTATCTCTGACATATGTCCTATCCATGACAGCCCTGCTCAGTTATTGTAAATTTGTGGTCAGGGCCTCCTTTACGGAGTCAACCCATCTCATCTGGTCTTCCTTTTCTTCTTCTGCCTTTGAGTTTCCAGAGCCTTATTGTCTTGTCCACAGAGTCTGACTTTCTCATGATGTGTCCGAGTTACGATGGGCTCAGTTTTGTCATGTTTACTTCTATGGAAAGCTCTGGCCGGATTTGATCCAGGACTCACTTGCTGGCCTTCCTGTCTGTCCAGGGTTAGCACTACACCGCAGAAGGGAATGGTAAAGCACTTCTGATTCTTCTTACCTTGAAACTCTTATGATGAAACAAAGATGACTTGGTTGTATTTTATTTTCTCTGCATTAAGGAATCATAGAATAGTAGAGACGGAAGGGCCTAGAGGGCCGTTGGGTCCAGCCCCCTGCTCAGTGCAGGACTCCCAGTTAAACCATCCCTCTCAGATGGGAGAAGAGGTTTCCTGCAGCCTCGAGTCCTTCTAGGGTTCTGGGAAAGAGTAAAGGGATAGGAAGGGAAGCAGTAAGAAGAAGCCCAGAAGCCATGGCAGGGAAGGATGTGGAGCACTGCCCCCTTGCATGTTGAGCTGCTCCCGAGAGGGCTCCAGCTGCTGCTGCTCCCCGCCTGTGCCGAGAATTGCAGCCTGATCTGCAGCAACGGAAAGAAATCGCGACCGCGCCGTTCCCCGGAGGATGCTCCGCTTTCTCCTTCAAGCGGATCAAGATACTGTTGAAGGCCTACGAGCTGGCAGCCAGCTCCCTGTTTGTCCCGGAAGCAGCGAGGTTTGGACCGAAGGTGGGGGGGGGGGGCGGGGGTTCTCCCGGGAGGAGAGTAGGCGAACCTCTGCCGTTATCCCGGGACCAGCCTGCGGGGAGCAGCGGCGCAGGACTCTGCTTTCCGCGCTTCTCTCCAGCGGGTCGTAATTGCCCCTTCCGGAAGACCAGGGCGCAGTGGAAGGCTTGCTTGGAGGCTGCAGCCGCGCTGGGGAGCCTGCCTTTCCCCAGGCGAGGTCCCGCAGCGTGGGGGTGGCGGAGAAGGGGACCTGGACCAGCCAGTGCAAGCCCCTTGAACACGCCCCCGGGCGCTCCTCGTCTCCCACCCACCTTCTAAGGGCTCTCGCGATGGAGCTGCGCGGTGCAAAGAGCGGCGGAGGCGCGGGGCCGCCCAGCTGGGCTGCGAAGGCTGCGAAAGTGGGGCCGGGAGAGGGGCCGGACCCACTCCCCCCGCCGCACACGCTCCTCCCCGCCGCGCAGCCCCTCGGAAGCACCGATCGTCTCGTTGCACGGTCCCTCCTCCTGCTCCTTCGCTCTTCCCCGCTTGCCTCGCTCGCTGTCCGTGCTGGCTCGAAGCCCCCGCTTTAAAGCCTTGATGAAATCCAGTTCCGCACTGCTAGTTCTGCACGTACTTCTCAAATGACACTGCCGGTTTGACCACGGCCCGATTTCCCCTTAGAAAGAGGGCTGCTCTTGGACTCTTTCTCCGGGCCCCAGAGGGACAGGAAAAATGCAAAAGTGCCCCCCCCCCCCCATGGAGCAACTTGAAAAGGATTCGGGTGCCCTCCACCCCACGCACGCTTCTTCCGTGGTCATGGCGACCCTCGACCTCCCCCTTCGGTTCCCCCGCTGCTCCTTTACATTATTCTGCCGTTATCTGGTGCCATTTAGTTTGCTGTCTTTAAAATGTACGCATGTATTTGCCTAGGAAGGGAACAGGCGAAAGGCCGAAAGTAATCTTACCGATCCATCCTGACCGCATACCTGCGGTACTTTCCATGCACGCCTCAAAAATTCCTGTCAACTATCAGGGCTAGAAACTTTAAATAAAAGTGGAAGAATCCTTGTTAATTATTATTTTAATTTCTGATTTCATTTAGGCTGCAATCTTGGGCAGTAATCATGTACCCGCAGTCCTTGGGGAATTGCTGTGCAAACTTTATTTTCCAATGGATTCTAAGTAGGATTTAAGTGTGTGTGTCCACGTGGAGGGGGAGGTGTTGGTAACAGAATTAATGCAGTAAGAAGGGGTGCACCCTAAAATTGAGATGCAGCAATTCATAGGAAAGGGAGATACGAGTATTTCAAATGTTTAAATTGTATTTTGGTGCAAGTTGTTTGCCATTTTGCCAAAGTGGGGATCCAGAAATAAGTCATACCTACTAAGGCATTGTGCAAGTGCTTCTGTGGAAGAAATCAAAGTTACAGACAAGAGAGTGCGATTACTGCAAACATATTGAAGAAAGAATGAGAGTTTTTTCTCTCCAGACGTAATCATAGCTTAGCATGCACCCACTGAAATCAGCAGAATTTTGCCATCGCCATGTTTTGGAGTGTGTGTGTGTCTATTAAATTATTTTTTCCCTCTGCTTTGGCTCTATTTAACTTGTTAACTTACTCGTGGATTTTATTATTGGTCTTCTGTATTTGTGAGTGTTATATTATGCTTTGTATCATTTTATGTTGTTCTGGATTTTAACATTATGTCAGCCACCCGGAGAGCCTATGGCTAGTGTGGTGTGATAGAAATCAATCAAATAAATAAATAAATCGGCATGCTCTGCATGCATCCTGAAAGGAGGTGCTCTTGTGATTTAGGGAATGTGGGACCCCCTGGACTTCCAGTTTGTTTCTCGTCTGGCCTTCAGAAATCCATCAAGCCAATTTTTCTCCAGCCACCATGTTCTGGAAATGTACACGAAACAGTTGCACGCTTGAGATCTGAGAACTGCATATCTGTAGCACTATTAGTTCAATTTGCATCTTTTGTGCAAATGAATGCTGTGACTTCAAAGTTGCGTAAATGGCTTTGCACTGTTTTAAATATGTCGCTGTATTTGCAAGTTCTTTATCTATCCCTCAGTGCGCATATTTCCTTGGTAATATCCTCGTCAGTTTAATCCTCCCAGGTGTCCTTGTTAGCTACGAGTAGCTCTATTGCCTAGAACCTGTCTCTGTCAATTTCATCTAGGCCCCCTGGCAGTCTGGCACCACCACTTGCAGCAGACAATTTTTAAAATTACTGCTATTTTTCAGCAAAGGATTTGTGCTAAGGGAGTCATGTTAGCCTCTTTCTTCCCACTCTCATACTTCCCACCAATAGTATGTGTGACTTTTTCTTTTAAAAAGGTCAGGATATACAAAGTATAGAGCCCAAAATTTATGCAAATTTCTTACCTTTTATTTTTTAAATGCATTCATGTAGAACATTAGTGTGAAGAATCCTAAACACACAATAAATGCCTCATGTTGAGAAACCCCATGGCTGGGTTCAGACAATACAATAAGCCATGGTGTTTTGTTTTGTTTTACCGTTGTTGGTCTGTTGTGCTGTCTGAGCCCAATCATGGTATTTCACCATGGTACATTTAATCTTTAGGCACCCTGATCCGTTCTATGGTTTCTCTGTTTCATTTTGGCTTGCCATGTTGTCCGAAGCCAGGATCAACTTGGTATGCAACTACTACAGAGCCCTCTGGAAAGAGTGGCAACTGTAGAAGCCGCTCCAGCCATCCAGTCTCTATGTGTGGACCAATGAGGAAGAGGCAGGGGGGATAGGCAGGCAGTGATGCACCTTGGGATTGAAATTCAGGCACAATAGCTGATGGGATCTATGCCAACAATGGCAGGACTGATCAGCAATTGTCATGTCATGTTGTGTGAACATAGCTAATGTCTAGGAGCCATAGGCTTGCTCCCTCCACCAGTCTGACCCAAGAAGTGGGAGAACAAAGGCATTTGATCAGTGAACAACAACCAAAGGAGTAATAATCTGTCTAAAACTAAACAGCAATGGGGCCAGTTTGCCCTCTTTTGCAAAAGAATGCCTCAGGTTTAGGTGTCCCGTAGAAAAGAACCCATCTTATATTCCTATCAATTTATTTATTCCTATTTAGCCGCTCTTGGTGGTGGGACATTGCAAACTTAAGGAATGAGTTAGTTTTTTGACCATCCTGACATCAGACTCTTTAAGCTCGTACTGCTTGATAGAATCAATACTTTGAACTGGGCCTGGAAACAAACTGGAAGCCAGTGCAGCATGTATAAGACTGGTGCAATATGGTTAACACAGCAAAAAGTATGTTATTGATTCATGGATACATTTTACATTTTCTTTTGTTTCTTGTTTCTGTTTAATGAAAATCACAATAAAAGCTAAAGGGGAAAAAGAAAAGAATGGTATTTGTGCCACATTTCTCATCAGATGCTGGGCACAGATCATTGTGGCCAGATAGCTTGTGGCAATCATCTTTAGAAACAGGTGAAATTCTTTCACATGACCAAATCCCTTGAGAAGAAGTTTCTACCCAGCAGTTTCTACCCAGAACCATCTCTGCTGCTCCAACTTCCCCTTTCTCAGCCCCTCTGTTTGGGGAAGACTTTTGCACTTATCAGCTTGCTGCTTGCCCACATGGCCATGGGCATCTCTATGGAGTGCCCTCTGGTCTGGGAGTGGTCTCCCTTCGAGGTCACTGCTCTCACTCTAGCAAAGCAGTGCCCAGATACTCACTGGGTCCAGCTCCTCATTCTCATGAGATGCTCTGATCAGGTAAAGCAGCTGAATGGTAACCCTATTCAGACTGTGTATAGACCCACCTACAAAAAAAATCAAAAAGTTTGCCCAAACTGAGCAGATTGAGATAAAAGCCACAACCAGCTCCCAAAGCTGGATCAAGAAGAATGTGGATTTTGTTCATTTCCCAGAATCCAGCCTTAGCTCTATTTGAGGTCAAAGTTTCCCAGCTGGGCATCACGGCTGCTGGCACATTGACCTGCACAGGCCCATTTATTTGACCTGGGAGTTGCAGAACACCCTTGCATCCTTAGTTCCGCTTGGAGATCCCCCCTTGCTTAATTCCCTCATTACACAACATTTATTTTGCAAAAATGTGATTTTAATCATGGTGCAATGAGGAATGCAAAACACCAAAGCCTCACTCTCCACCACAGAAAAATAGTTTTGAAATATCCTGCTGGTCTACTGAGTATGTCTTTCATCATGCACAATCGAACATTTCTGTTCCTCACCAGCTCATGCTCATTCTATTTTAAAAACTGCTTATCACCAATTTAACTAGAAACGATGAAGCTAACCAGCTTTTAGTTACCTAGATCTTCTTCCTCCACACACTTTTAATTATGTTACACACACCACGTTCCAGTCCTTTGATATGAAGTCATGTTATACATTTGTGTTATAAGACCAGCAATTTCAGATTTCTTTCTTTCTTAATTAATTCATTTATATACCACCCAATAAGGGAGACTTTCTGGGCAGTTAACAAAAGTGAAAATTAAACAAAAGAGGAAATGACACATGCACAACAATTAAAACTAAAAGAACAAAACCATAATTGCAATTGCCATTATTCAGCACAGAAGCACAGCAGTCCTTTAGGGGTAGTGCAACCACACCCAGAACAGGTTGAATTTCACCCAAATACACAGAATTTCACCCAAATAACAGCACCTTTGTCTTCAGACAAGACTGGATGAGGACCAACAAACTGAGGCTTACTCCAGAAAGGTCTCAGTTTGCCGGTCCTCATCCAGTCCATTACCATGCTCAGACACTGATTCAGAGTATTTGTTTATTTATTGCATTTATGTACCACCCCAACAGCCCAGAGGGCTCTCTGGGTGGTTTACAAACATTAAAACCCCACCAATCCTAAACAAGTAAATAAAATGGCTACACCACGACTGAGTATAAAATAACATGGTTACAATGAATTAAATAAATAAATATTCCACTAAAATTAATTAACTTTAAAATATTGGTCAAATAAAAACTGTCTCACCTGGGATTGAAGAAAAGGTGAGGTAGAGCTGGATGCCATCTGCATATTGGTGACACCTCCACCCACAGCTCCAGATAACTTCCCCCAGCAGTTTCATGTCACTGTTGAATAGCATAGGGGTTGAAATGGGACCCTGTGGTACTCCCTGGCATAGCTGGCATAGCAATGATCCCCCAGCAGCACATTCTGGAATTGCCCAGTCAAGTAGGAGTGGATGCAGTGCCTCGCACTCCTAGCCCAGCCTATCCAGAAGGATACCATCACTGATGGTATCAAAAACCACTGAGAGGTCCAGGAGAATCAACAGGGTTGAACTCCCTTGCCTTTCTCCCTTCCCTTGGCTGCCCTGTGGATATAAATAATCTGACTCAGTCAAGAGTGCCTGGATCTCTTCAGCCACCCGCTGCTCAAGCACTTTGCCCAGGAGGGGGATGTTGGCCCCTGGTCAATAGTTACCGACATCCTTTGGGTCCAGGTTAGGCTGTTTCTGGAGTGGCTTAATTACAGCCTCTTTTAGAAAGGCTGGCACTATTCCCACTCTCAAGGAGGAGTTCACAGCCTCCTGGGCCCGGGTTGAAATCCCTGCTTTAGTTGCTTTAATGAGCCATGAGGGGCGACGCTCAAGTACACAGGTGGAGGGCTGGACTTGACCATGCACCTGGTCCATATGCTTGGGCCTCAATAACTGAAGCTCATCCGATAAAACTGGACCAGCTTTGACTTTTGAGTCATTTAGGTTAAAATCCTGTACCGCCTGGGAGAGCATCCCAGGAACATGGGATTTTTCAAGTTCCCCTCCTGAAGACATAGACACTGCTACAACTTTGGGAAGGGAGACTTCACGTTATTGTCCTTCCACGTGCCTTCCCATGACCCTTGCAGTTGCAGTGGGAAGAACTGTGCTGTTTGCGTTCCAAAGTCACAAATGTGAGCTTTGATGACCTTGCAAAGGTAAAAAAGGGGCAAACTGGTAGGAGGGAAGGAGACAGGATCCATATCTGCAGAAGCTTCCGTACTCTGCCTCCAGTAGCATGACTCCTTTAGATGGTCCCTGAGGCCATCTAGAGGGAAAAATATTAAAAAGGAGAATCATAAATCTCCAGCCCAGCCAGGCCGCTATAGAGGCCTCCATCCATTATCGGGTAACCTAATCGGGGTGTACCATTGGGAACTTGAGGAGGGATTCCATTTGGCCCTGCTGGTTTGTTTCAGTTTCAGTTGAGGGGTGTTGCTTTGGAAAACTTCAATTGTCTTTTTCCCAACCAACGTCACCACGCGTTCAGAGCTCTCCTTGGTCCTGAAGTACTGGATTAGCACTACATGGTTCAATCTGCCATTTTGAGACCTGCATCTGCTGGGGTATCGCCATGTCTCCTTCAGGTTGTTCTCTGTTCTAGTTTGCTTCCTTTCTGACTTTGTTGTCTGTGTTAGAGTGGGATTCTCCTGCAGCTGTTTCCGCTTGTGGACCATGTGTGAGAAAAATAGCTGCTTTGGTCACACCTTCTCAAGGCCTGCTGACTGGTCTCCAGAAGAGAAGTTGGAGGAGGAAGAGGAGTCATGGGAGGGGCCACGGAATGTGGGCCATTTCCAGACATTGAGATAGAGAAGCAGAGATGCTTATCTTAAGGCCAGACTCCCCAGGTGGGCCGGTAGTCTCTGGGAATAACCAGGATGTACAGCTGGTGGGAGGGGACTTGGAACAGGGGAGTTTCCTAGACATAGACAGGTGGGCTTAGCTGTTGACACCATGGCACATCATCAACTGAGAAGGGTGGCCCAACTGGAGGATCGGCATGCAGAGAGGAGACATGTTCATTTTCAGAAGGCCCCTCCCAAAGGGATGGGTTGCAGGCATGCTAATAAGGAGAGTTGCTGGAGGTGAATACTAGACTGGGTTCATTGAAACAACCTGTGCGTGCTGAGAGAATCAGTCTGGATGTTTATGCATCTGGAAACCAGTTTGGCCCATAAAGAATGTTTTGGAAGGAAGGTCAGAGGCTTTGAATGTGCAAAGGGAGAAATCCTAGCTCATGATGCTCCATTTCTCTGTGTCAGTGGTTTGGAGATGAGAGCCCCATAATTTTGGCAAGAGTTCATCCATATGTAGATCCCTTAACTGAATAGAATACATACATACATACATCAATACATAAAATATCCTTACTCACTTTTATTCTATTTAGATACCAGCTGTCTTGTCACAAGGAACACAGGGTAGCTTACATAATCCCCCCTTTCATCCATTTTATACTCACAACAACTATGTAAGGCAACTCAGCCTGAGAGTCGAATTCTCCCTGTGAGTTTCATGGCTGCGAGGGGTCTAGAACCCAGATCTCTGACTCTAACTAACAAATCACTGATCAAATGCAGGAAAGGAAGTTGAAAGGTATGTCACAGGAAGGACATGGTGCATTGTGGGGCTTACACACTGGAGAGCAAGCATAGTTTCTGGTGATAAAATCCTCATGACAAGGGAGGGGAAGCAGCTTGTTATACAATAATTTCAGAAACAGAATTCTTGCGGTGGCCTTAAATGTCAAACAGAAGTCATGAATTCTTTGCTCCAGCAGAGATAGGTGCTGACTTCATCTGGTTTGATTTGGTAGGACAAAAATCACAGATTGAATCCCAGGGCCTTTAGCCATGTCTTGGTGCTGAATTAGGGTGTCACCTCTTTATACTCCTGACAGCTTCCTTGCCTTAAACAACTGATTCAACTTGGTTGGTTCCATGCCAGGAATAGGGTTATCTGCTGAATTTAACTGGAGCACATGGGGTGAGAATTTTGTTTTGATCCATTTTCCATGAGAATTTGCCAAAATAAATTGAGGCAAAGTTTAAGGACCAGACAATTTACACACTTCCAGTGCTTACAAGAAGATACCTATTCTGTGAGAACTGAGAACAATACCAACATGCTTCTTACCATGTATTGGGACGCACAGCAGCCTCTGAGCTTAGAGGCTGACAAGCACAGCGAAAGGAGGCCATATGGTATCCAGGGCACTCCATTTCTTTTTATATTTTGTTGCTCTTATATTGATCTGTTTTTGTGATTGAAATTGTTTTCAGTATTGTATTTTTAACCTCGTCTTAGATGTGAACTTAATGTTTCTTTGTGAATCAGATAGGGATTTCATTATTTTTAAGCCATTTACAAACATCACAAACACATTCAAATTCATTATCATCTCAGCTTCCAATTAAAAATGCAAGTTTCTAGCCATGATGGTGCAAATAGGCACTCTTCCTCTGATCCTGGAGGGAGTGCCTAGCCATCTGGACCAGAAGGCATTGATAGCCGCCTCTTCCATGAGCCACTTGCAGTGGTTAAGCTGGGGTAGTCCCTGGGGCCAAAGTCCAGGGCCCATGCAGCCCCTGGTGGGTGGTGCTGAATGACACCCAGTGGATCACAGTTGAGGAGTTCATCACTCCAGTTTGCTCCTATAATCCTGGTTAGTGCTGTAATTTAAGTGAGCTTCCAATGCCAAACTGCATGTTCTCAGAATATATTACAGGGAGAAAGCACTCTAACATATATGGAATTTATATGGTAGTTTTATATGGAATTTATATGGAACATATATGGTAGCTTTCATACCATAAAGCATGGAATGCTGTGCACACAGGGGAGAAGATAAATGAGAATGGTGCACTTCACAACGGAAGCAATACCAAAGCCTATCTCAAGGGGGTGCCATTAAACAATTCAGTGTCATTACATAGCTACCCAGAGCCGGTCTTGTGTGGCATAGTTGAATGAGCGCTGGACCAAAGCTTCGGACATCTGGTTTCTAGCCCACACCATTGTAACGCCATGCGGAAGTACATATTTTCAGGAAGTTCATGGTATGCTGGCGATCCCATTGAGATTATAACTTCTTCCCAAACATGGCCATGTATGCAAGGCCAATGAAAGCAAAGAATGCAATAAAGTCAGAAAACTTAGAAAAAACAGACCACGCCAAGACTTTATTTTGCAAGTACAGAAATTGAGACCTCATGGCATGGAAAGAACACAGACGGGTTTTATTTGGCACGGAACACCCACAGCATGCCCACAATCCATGTGCCAACACACGTCTCTGCTGACCTCAGGCTGCACAAAGAAAAGAATGAAGAATTCACAATTGTTCTGGCTGTAGAGAGGGGATTTGTTTAATGTAATGAAAATACAGCAGGGTGGGGCAGGAAGAGAATAGATCAGTAGGAGAGTTGTAAGGGGGCTATAAAGCCATCAAGGCTAGACCCCCGCTCCACTTCCACATGTGGTCACCCTTCCAGCTGAAGGCCCACTTCTTTCCAGCTTAGCAAAGGTGATGTGACATGTTTGTTCGATGGATAGTTACGCAGGCAGGACCAATGTTATGGGAGGAGGACAAGTTGGGCGTTGAGGAAGGGGGGGATGGATGGTGTGTGTTGTAGGTGGGGGGAAAATTAAGCAACCACCTCTCCATGGGAAAACAACAGAAAAGGTCCAATGATCCATCTACATCCAGACTGAGGCATCCTGCGGATGCGATGTGTTGTTAAGCCTGTGCCACATTATATGTTCTGAAAAGAAAGTGAACAAGGATCAGGGTATGAAATACTATGGGAATACATTGAGCAATGTACTTGATAATGCATTTACCCTGGCATTTAGCCTTTCACAAGGCAGAGACTGTTCAGACAACACAGTAACCCTACATTTAAGGGTTGGGAAAGGGTTGTCATTGAATCATGGGTTGTCATTGGAATGAGGACTGTTGTGATCTCAGAACATAACTGTGTTAACCACAAACAACCCATAGCTCAGAACCCAAGAAGAAGCCATGGGTTCCTTTCATGGGTTGTTTGTGCTTAACAAACCCTAGTTTGTTACCATGGCAGGGTCCTGACAGCAAGATAAATCACATTTCAACAATAACTCATGGTCCAGCAACCTATGTTTGATCCATATGAGACCCTTGAGTGTGGGGTCAGAGCTTGTCTTAACCCAGTCAAAATGTATTAGCAAAGGGGAAGAGAGAGGCACTACAGCTGTTCTCTCACCTTGTCTGCTTCTTCCCTCGGCATCGTGGGAATTTCCCATGTTTACCACCTGGAAGTGGAGAGAAAGAACTGCATGAACTTCATCTTCTACAGCCAGGAACCAGATAGAAAGTTGTGGGGCACTTAAGAGGTATTATCATTATCCCTTTTGATACTGCTTCCCCTAGGATGCTCAGAATCAGTGCTGGATTTTCTACCTAAAACTGATACTGCATTTTACAACCATAACAGCATGGGAAAATACAAAGCACATTGAGGTCATGACTCTATGGACACTAGACACTGCCTAAATAGCCGTAGGAAAGGTTGGAGTTCCAGCTTCAACCCTGGAAACACAGTTCAAGGTTGGAGCTGGAACTGGAACCTAAGATCACCCTCCCTCCAGTCAGTGGTTCTTCCACACCAGCTCTGGTCCCAAGCCCAGAAGGCTGACCTCTGAGCCCCCAGCGCCTAGGTGATCCAGGGAGATATGAGGAGGGAAGCTCTGCTGGGATATGTTGGACTTTGGCAGGCCTTCAGTCTATCCTGAGGATGGCCAACAGATGGCCAACATCAGCCGACAGAGTTCTCTGTGGGGCAAGCAAAGAACAGAAGCAACCTTTGCCTCCCTGTTCTTTTTATCCTTGATAGGATGCCCAAAAACCTCTGATTTCAGAGGGTTATGGGAAGCCAAACTGGATGACTTGGTAAGAGATTCTTAATGAAGCTTCCAGCAGCAAATGCCATGAGACATCAGGAGTAAGACCTTCATTTTGGTACGTTGAGTAGTTCATAAGTAATAGATATGTGTGCTATTTTTTAAAGAAGTTAAAGCCACAATTCTCATTAATTAGGTTTTAGCATATAAGCAATAAGCAAATATGCTTTCGGTGTTGTAGAGACTAATGGAAAAATAAAGAATTTACTTTCCCAAATCTGAAAAGGGAAATACAGACCCAAAATTAAATACAGACCCTTATGCAGACAGAATGCTTAACCCTGGTCACCTAAAGAGCTAACTTATGTTTAAAGAGTGGCCACAAACCGGATGTGAAATAAAGTTCAAAGCAGGCTTGAATATCATGGATAGACTGAAGCATCAAGAAAATCGTGATCAGCACTTGCAAAGTTACAAACACTTCTCACTAGTATCTCCCTGCCAATGCCTTTGTGGGGATTGGGTTTTCCCCAGTAGGCTAATATTCTTATTAAGCAAAATAGCAGGACATGAATCCAATACATACATGCATACACACGCTATTTCAATGGTTCACATGATCAACAGGGCCCACACTGGCTTAGTAAGGGGTCCAGTGATTGTGTGAACTGGCCCTTGGAATGTCTGGGGGTCTGAACCAGAGCTAATTTGCAACAGACCATACTTAATGCTAACCACGGGCAAGCATTCTTGGAACTCAAGAACAATAAAGGGAAGAGGAGAGTAACACGACAAGGTCACGGCGTGCTTTCACTACACGCCCCCACTTTTACACCCTGAGTCAAACCAGCTCCGCTTATGCTAGTCCTGCCATGCGTACAGGTGAGGATCAGGATGCCAAGGATGAAGAGGACTGCAGCAGCCACTAAACCCCATTTTCGCAGGGAGTAATAGTCTGCAAGGCAAAGAGAGACCATAAGCACTCCGTTCAGTGTGGTGCGGTGGTTAAGAGCACAGAGCTGGGACTCGGGCAATCTAGGTTCTAGTCCCTCCCCGGATATGGCGCCAGCGGGGTGCTTTGGACCAGTCACAGACTCTCAGCCTGACCTACGTCACAGGGCTGATATTGTGAAGGTAATGCTGAGGACAGGGGAAGGAGAATTATGTAAGCTACTTTGGGTTCTTTGCAAGAAAAAAGGGAGATATAAGCCTAGTGAATGAATAAATAAATCCATGCATCAGATGAAACATCAAGGTGGATCTGCAGTGGCTGAAACCATCAACAGACTTTGGGGAGGGGCTTAGGAGTTGCAGTCAGTTGGGATGCACGTGTGTAAGCTGATTCAAGGCAGTGTGCAAGAAATTGGCACCATAATAATGAAGAAGCCTTGGAGGGAAAATGTGTTTCCACCTCGTAACTCACCATAATGAAAGGCATCATCCTCATCCTCGCTCTTCTCAACACCTGAGAAAAATGAAGGAACATGAAACTGATGTGGACATGCAGGTGTCACTTGGGTGGGCACGCACATCCCAGGTTGCACTGGAGATTCATGACCCAAATACTGCCTGACTCACTACCCCTCTGTGGGTGGACATTTGCTAATGTCCGAAGAAAAATAAGGTCACCCTTCTTGCTGCAAAAGTAGGCACTAGAGGTTTCTTCTGAAGAGAAGAAAAGCAGATTGTGTCTTCCACCCCCTTGCTCAGCCTTGGACATACCAGTTCTCCTCTCTTGGTCAACTGATCGCTGTTGAGCTGAGGTAACTCCTGGAAAAGAAAACACAGGGTGGAGGAAGCTGAGGCAACAGGGCTTCCTTGGGCCTAGCCAGCAGGACCCTTGTATCAGTTCTGTCTCTCTCTGGCTGCCACACATGGGAGACCCAAATCCCAGGGACTAGGCTCTTATACTCACCTGCAGTGCTAGTAAATTTCACAATTGTGGAATTGAGGGTTTCAGCTGTTGTCACCGCAGCAGAAGAAATTGCTTCTTCTGTTGTTATCTGTTCTACAAGAGTAAACATTTAGAGATGGATCAAAATCACACAGAAAATGATTTTTCTGTGAATTTCCTCTTTCATGTCCTCCACCTACCATTGAACCAGTTTTCGGCATCCCTGCCCATGAATCAGGAGAACTTTGGGCATAACTGAGAATCCAGTTTGAAACCTGATTTTTTGAATTGTTGGAGTGGATTATGGATCCTGGCTTGTTTGGACACATTTGACTCTAATCTTGAGTTTGGAGTGGAAATTATGCAAAGCTGTCCCTTCCCAAGTTTGTTTACCCGCTTGAGAGAAGTAAGGAGCAAAGTATGCAGTTTAGTCACATGATGGATTATTAAGCTTAGATTCTTGGCTTATTATTGTAGGCAAAAATAGCGCACGCGAGACAGATTGAGAGAGAGATTGAGAGAGAGATGCTATGTACATTTTAACATTTTTTTAACATTTCTGAGAAATACTCCCTAATAATATTTTCTAAGAGATGTTCATTATTACCATTATGATGTCACCCATCAAAAATATTCCCTGGGCAATTAAGAGAATAAAAATAAACAAAACACAGTATTCAAAATACAATAGTTAAGACTAAGAAAAAGGCAGCATAAAATGTTTCTTCTAGTGAACATTTAACAGGCATCCCAGATTAAGAATGGTTTGAATACAATCCTGTGCCTGCCTGGACAGAAAAAAGTCTTGCAACATCCACAGGACTGCACCCCTTCCTTGTTTATGTCTAACTTAAGAGCTGTATTAATGCAATGAAAAGTGAAAGCTCTAGATGTGTTGAAAATACAAGGTTGCTTAAAATGCCTGGGAGAATGAATAACAACACTGAGAGCCAGTGTCGTGGCTAAGGGTGCAGGGTTTTATATGATCTGGCCAGGGCAACTTCTTCTTCCTTCTCTTTTCTCCTCCTATATTCTTTATTTACTTATTTTATACTGTTAATTTTAATTTTTTATTATTATGTTTGTATCTCCGTGTATTTTTTGTATTTTTGTATTTAGTGGTAATTTATTATGTTCTATTGTATTTCAATGTATTTTATTGTGTTGTAAGCCGCCCCAAGGCTTCGGCAAGGGGCGGCATAGAAATGTTAATAATAATAATAATAATAATAATAATAATAATAATAATAATAATAATCCCTGCTCAGCCATGGAGCACACTGGGTGACCTTAGGCAAGCTAGGCTTTCAGCCCAATCCACCTCACAGGGTCGTTGTTGTGAGGATAAGATTGAGAGCAGGAGGAGTAATGTTCTGTAAGTCTCGTTGAGTTCCTTCAAAGGAAAAACTGTGGGGTATAACAATAATTAAATAAACATGCTGACATTCTGGAAACTAGATGCCTTCAGGATAGCCTCTCTGCAATGGCTATTCCGTACCTGTGGTGCGACTGCTGAAAAGGCCTGCTTTCCAGTGCTCACTCACACCACTCATTTGGCAAGGGGATCTCAGATTAAGGCCTCTGAAGATCTTAAGTTTCAGGTAGGGGCACATACGGAGGAGGGGCTTTTTCAGGTAACCGGGCCCGAAGGCCAAGGATGCTGTGAGTCACCTACCAGTTGTTCCATATTCTTGGGAGACATCCTCACTGACCCATGCAGTACTTGGATCTATGGCTGCAATACAAGACCATGACATGGAGAAGAAAGGGTGAGTGAGAAAAATCCACAAGTTCCTTTCTGCCTCCATCCAGAGAGGAATGCACACTCCCACTGGGAGCATGACCAAGGGTGTTTCTGCATCTTCGTGGCAGCAGGTTGAAAGAGGGATCAACATCCCACTTCAGCATCTGGTCAAACACATTTTGGAGGTCTTTATTTTGTTTCACGCACCTACCAAGCCCATCCGACCACCAGCAAGGGAGAAACAGAAGGTATACATGTGTAGACCATGGGCAATTAGACCACTTCCAAATCACTTTCAAAGAATCCCTTTTCTCCATCTCATAAGCCTCAATCTGTCAACATCACAAAGGAAGCCCTTGTGCTGTGGGAAAGAAACAGCAACTCCATCACTGTGCTCAAAGATCAAAGGGTTGTGCTTAAGATCTCACATAAATGCATGCCCTGAAGTCTTGCTGCATTTGTTTAAATATGGAAAGCAGCCTTACAAGATGGGAATTTAGAGCAGAGAAGTAGCCTAGGAAGGGAGCACCAATCCTATCCATGCCAACTGCTTATCATATCCCCAGCATGAATCCCCACTTCTTGTGGGGCTTAGAATGTGGCCCTGTGGGCACTTCTTCGTTTTTATTTTACCTAAATCTTTTGTATGCTGTGCCTTATGTGTGGCATCTCAGGACAGCTTATAATCATTAAAACAGCCACAGTAAAACAGCAATAAATAACAATTAAGCAAAAAATACAAATTAAATGATTTTGCCAGTAGGGGAGGTCCATCCATCAGGGGAAAGCCAGGCATGGTGCACTCCATTGGTCAGAGAGTAAACCGCAAGCCAAAAGACTCACTTATTGAAACCCAGGTGGGTTCTTGCTGCGTATTCCTGGTTTCCTCCAACTGTTCTGTAGCTGGGGCTGAAGTTCCTGGAACACACACAAGCGTTCAGTGGGCAACAGTCCCCTCCCTGTATGATTGCCAAAGTATTTCGTTCATTTCGTTTCATCCTACCCACCCCAGGGGTAGGACAGGGGTAGGATATCGTTCCCCACCCCATTCACTCCAGTAATTTATTCCCACAGCACTCCTGTGAGGTAGATCAAGCTGAGAAAGGGGGAAAGCTGAGCCCAAGCCAACTCTGCAAGCTTCACAGCTCACTGAGGGATTGAACTTAACTCTCTCTGATCGTGCTCTGACACAACCTTTTCCCACCGGGTGTCCTGCAGATAGGTTGGACAGCCCCTGTGTGGGACAGAAAGGCACCGTGGGTCCTGGAATAAAGCTTCCCACCATGACTCTAACCACTGCACCATACAAATAGATGGAAACCGAAAATTGGAAAGATTCAAGGAGAGGCAGCAGGAGGGGAAGCACATGTGAGCAAAGGGTCGCCTAATCCAGGGGAATCCCATGGTGCCAAGCTCAAGAGTACAGAAGATGGTGGGGCAGAAGGCCTAGCAAAGATCTGGGCCTCCAGATGAAAGATTTGGGGCTCTCACCCTGGTGGGCTGTTCCCCCAACACAGCCTCTGCTCCCTCCTGTGCTACAGCATTTTCAAACTTTTACCTTCTTTCCAGAGGTTTTGAAAGGCAGCTGTTGAGTGCAACTACCTGGATTTCAGGACTCAGCTGGGGGAGGCCTGCCCAGAGGAGACCCCGATCCATCTCCAGCCATGCTTGGCCTGTGAGTAACACTCACTGTAGGCCACCTGACAAGACCATGATAGAGAGACACGTGACTCACTAACCTACTGTGGCTCCACATACCATGTGAACCCAGTCTAGGCTTCTCCCAGTCTCTGCAGCAGAGCAGGTGTCCATGGTAAGAAGAATATTTTGGGCAAGGCCCACTCCTGTTCTGCATACCTGGCTATTTTCCAGAAAGAGTTTCAAGTTAGCTGGTGCAGCTGGTCAGGGCAAGGGTTTCCTAGAGCTTCTTTCCTAGAGCCAGGAGGGCTTCTGTCCTAACCGCTCTTTCCATGATGCGATGCTCAAAAGCCTCAAGGCAACTGGGAGATGCGTTCTGCCTCACATACACATAGAAGAGACACCTGGCCTGTGATACAGTTGTGTTGACTTCCCTGAACCCTTGAAAATACCATACAACATTTTGACTCATTTACTGTGGATTACTTTTTTGTATGCATGGTAAAATATTTCACAACAATAATGTCTTTACTATATTCCCCCCCTCAAATGTTCCTATTCCTTCCTTCCTTCCTTCCTTCCTTCCTTCCTTCCTTCCTTCCTTCATTCCTCTCTCCTCTCCTCTTGCCTTTTTCTTTCTTCCTTTCTGTCTTGGTAATTAAAAAGAGGAAAAAATGCTCTTGCAAATTCTCCCCCCTTCCGCACACACACATCTCGATATATAAACACACAGTTCCACCTACAGTTTTCCTACTTCAGGTCGCAGACTGCAAGATCTACCTGGATCAGGGCACAAGGCTGTTAATTGACTCTACCTACTTTTGGTTTCATCACTCAGCTGAGAGCTCAAAGCTACATGAGCAACATTTTTTGTTTTTTCTCTATGTCACTTTTACAGCAAAGTTGGGAAGCAAGTTAAAACTTGAGCATTGAGTTATTCCAATCAAAATTTCCATTTCCCTGCTTCTGATAACAGCAACGGAACAGTGATTTGCTTCCTGATTAATACTTTTGGTTTGCCTGGAATTTCAAAGTGCTTTGTTAGTCCTGCCTCCTCTTCCATTCCTGCCCAGCTGCACCACTGTGGTTTTAAAATTTGACTGTGCTAATCAGTAGAGAGTTAAAATGCTGGAAAGAATCCCGTGTCCATCCAGCCTAGACCCTCCCCAAACCAGAACGTCCCAACCAATATAATGGAGCCCAGAGGTTTCCAAATTTACAGAGGGGAACCGAACTGAAACTCAACCTGCAACTTGGGAGCAGTTTTTCGTTCACCTGTCACAGCAGTCTTCTTTTCTATATCCACCGCCCCCACCCTGCTAGTGAGCTCCTGAATCTTTTGCACCACTGACTGACCCACTAATAACTGATCAGGCTGCACAGTCAATTTGCCCATTAAGGGCTTCACATTGTGGAACATGTATGCTGAAACAGCACAGCCTTAAAAGCATGGCATTACATTGCATAAGAGATCCAAACCAGAGAAGCAAAACAGCAGGGCTTCTTTCTTTCTCACATCTTGGAAACTGTACTCTGAAGAATATTTGACATCTTTGCTAGGGGGCAGATCAAAGTTTAAGTCAAGAGCTGACCCAGGAACTGGCACCACCAGGGGACCCTTCCAGATCTTGCTGAATCATAATTCCAGATGACTCCTACACATCTGCTAATGTGGATGACTGCAGCTAATGGAGAACATGAGCCAGTGGGCTGGGGTGTTGGACTGGGGCTGGCGAGATCCAGGCTTCAGTCCACACTTAACCCATGAAGCCCACTGAATCACTGGATGGGCCATTCACTGACTCTCACCCTGATCTACCTCACAGGATTGTTGTGAGGATAAAATGGAGAGGAAGAGGAACAGATAAAAATGCCACTGACCCATCCTTACAGATATTAGCTATTGCACATAGCTGAAGAATACCTTGTGCATCTTACCTTGTGCATCCACTGTGATGGTGAGGCTCACGAGGAAAAGCAGCAAAAAGAGCTGAGAAAGAAGCGACAAAAAGCCATCTGTCAGTCATGCCGCAGGGTCAGGCTGTATCCCATCGCTGCTGTCCTGAACCTACGCCATAGCTGTCTCCTGCACTGCGGGCCACCGAGGGAGGAAGGCACAACTGCAAGCGAGGCACAGCCCTGCATCCAGACTGCCGAGCAGGGGTTCTAAATGGAGCCTGCAGCCACGCCAGCGTCAAAGAAGGTGTATGTTTGCTTAGATCAGCTGCCCCAACCTGCCACCCTCCAGATAATTTGGACTGCAACTTCCATCAGTCCCATCCAGCACAGTCCATGGTCAGGAATGTGAGGATTTGCCCAAATTTCTGGAAGGCTCCAGACTGAGGAAGGTTAGTTTATGCATTGACTGGAGTTGTAGCCCAGACTGCATTTGCTTGTCCGCTTGCAAGCATTAGAAGACCCTAATCATTTATTTTGATGCTAGTCCTCATTGTGGCTTACAGCATTTTTTAAAAATGTGATGGGTACACCAAAAACCACACACTTCAGCCAAAAGACAGACAGACAGACAGCACTGCAGGAGCAATTCTTTTCCCAGCCATCTTTTTGATTTTACTGCAATACAACCAAATAAAAATGAGATTTCCTGATGCATGCTGTTTGGCCAACATTTTGAATCAAACCAGAACAAGAGACCTAAGGAATATAAACACACACACACACACACACACACACACACACGGATCCTACCCTACATGTTGCCCAACACTGTTTTAGGGAACCGTCTCATCCACCTAATGGACATCTCTGACTCAACAGCTCTGATGAGATCTCAGGCTCTCAGTAGGTCCAGTCTTGGGAGCTGGAAAGATACTGACATTTCCCCACAGTGGAAGATGCACTTCTCCTTTTAGTCTGACGGGTGACGAGGTTGCAGCTTGCCAGAGGAAAACTCCAAAGGACGTGAGAGCCATGATGCAGCTGCCCGCGTCTGAGAAGGCAGCTCTGATCTGTCAGACTGCCAATGTCCTAGAAAGGAGCCTGTTGGAGTTTATCAAAACCTAGCAGGGCCCCTCATGCTGCCGGCATCACAAGGCCAGAGAGGTTTTTTTAGGCCGCTCCTCCTGGCTCCATTTCAAAAGGCTGTAGTTCCAGCATCACTGAAATTAACCATCCATCCCCTAACATTTAGCTATGTAACTGAGAAGTCAAATGTTGCTTTTCTTTCCCCCTCCCACATCCCACACACCAATGCGCCAAAGTTCGTTACTTTCCAGCCAGCCTGTTCTAAGAAGCAGAGCTTTGTCTGCATCTCAGACCAGAAGCAGCCCAGGGACTATAACCTGAACTTTTAGCTCAGGCAGGGGGAGGGAGATGGAGGACAAGAGACCCGTCAGCGCTATCCCCAGGTTTCTGGTTTCTTTCTGGTTTCTGGCCCGCAGCTCAGCCGTCCTGCTCGCCACAAGCCCACCTCCTCTCACCCCAGCCCCACCCTGGGACATGTGGTTCTCATTTCCACTGAGCCAAGGGGTGGCGTCTTCTGCCACCAATCCAGCCCAAAGGGTTAATCCCCAGCAGGAAATTTTCTCAGCTGACACATTGTTCCAGAAAGACACAGGAAGCCGTGGGGAAATGCAGTTCTTCTTAGCAGGGAGGCCTGGGTGGTCCATGCCGGGAGGCTGGTGCATGTGGGGGTCACTCACCTTCATGGCGGAGGCTCCGCAGGACCGTTCGTGCGGCATTCTGGGCATCCACGAGCAAAGGGAAGGCCTAACAGTCATTTCCTCCTCTTGCCACTTCCTGGCCCTAGTGAGCGGCTGTGAGTCATAGGGCACGTGTTCTTACATTTCTAAGTGTGTGGGTATACAGTTAGAGTCCAGCAGTGTGTGTGTTTCAGAGTGTGCCAGAGCGTTCTGTGGAAGTGCGAGACTTCCCCATACATGACGACACGCATTAACCAGACTGAGAGCCATTAATCAGGAATGGAAAAAACCAGCTGTTTTTAAAAACTCTGTGCAGTCGGGTGAGCAGCAAAGAAGGGGGATAATGGGTGTGAAAGTGTGCATGTTTTAAAGGAACACCTTCAGGGTTTAGCTCTTCCTTCTTATGGTATTTCTTATTTAAAACAGGCTTGGCTGGACAACCACTCAGAAGAGGATGCCTTCAAACAGAGAGCTGCCCTCTGGGAAGTGGACATATGGCCACCCTAGCATTTCTATACCTGCCTCCCACTGTCCCATTTCTCACAAAAATATATTAACAAATAGTGTTAGCAAAACATTAGTCTGCTGTGTGTCAGACTAAGAAAGCAAGAACACTTCAGAGGAAGATGAAAACAAACAACAACTTGTAGGCCGTTTGAGACTGAAGCCTCGCTGAAATTACACAGAAGAGATTTTTCTGAGAAAATGTGCAAGAATGTTCTGTTTCTTGCCCTCTCCAGAAAAAGAAGGGTGCTTTGCTGAATCTTCTCGATGCTGCTTTTGTAGAAGCTGTCATTTCCATACCACCATGCTCTGGAATGATGGCACTCTAGGTCACTGTGGAGGGTATTAAATGGTGGCCAAACTGTAAACCAGAAGAGAGGAATCTTAAAAAAGAGAAGGTGGGTATCATTGCTGCCATCACTTTGAACGGTGAGCACCACTCTTAAGAAACTGTTGAAGAATTTGCCTTCTGGCTGCCAAATGATTCACAAATGATTCCTCCCAAAGTTTCTGTGTCCAGAAATGCCATTGTTGAGGGACAATTTTTGCAGAGCTCAAAAAACAGTCAATAATCCTTCTTTCTCTGCCCAGGTGTACCTTCTGTTCTCCAAGTCCTGCCTGAGTCCAAATGGTGATTGTTTTTTAACTCACCTCAAATATCTGGGTCTCAGTACCCAGTTCCTGGAGCACAATAACATAGCCTGAAGGAAGCTCTCCCAGAGTAGCTAAGGAGGCCTAGCAGACAAAGGGTTGTTTGATGGAGAGAAGTCTATGTGGATGGTCTCATGATAAGGTTTACTGGGCTTCGTTGCATCTGCGTGAAACCAAAGGGCTCCGATCTGTTCTTGTTTTGTTCTTTTCAAGCTGAACCCCACCATTTGGCAGAATGAGGCAGCCAAGTTTCAGTTTCGCGAAGGTGCAGCAACTTGCTCAATATTTAATATATGATTGTCTCTTTACTGCCAGGGATTGGGAAGAGTTTTCACCTGCAGTTGCAAAAAGAATTTGGCCCACCTTGATGTGGGATGAATGTGGGGTGGCATTTTGCTATTTCATCTAAGGCAGCAAAACGGCCTGGCCTGGTTTTGAGCATCTTAGAAGCATGAGAAGACCATGAAAATCTGTCTTCTGTAGAGTCAGATACTTGGCCCATCTACCCCAGTATTGTCAGCACTGACTGTCAGCAGTTTTCTGGGGTTTTGGACAAGACTTTGCCAGCCCTGCCAGAAGATGCAAGGGATCGACTCTGATACCTTCTACATGAGTGTCCTGAAAGGTGTGTCCTCTCTCCTTCACATGTCAAGGTGTGACCTGATCACACCAGTCACCTAGAAGGTGCATTTGGGATTTAAATTCTAAAGTTCCCTAGAGGGAGGCCTAAGAAGAAAGAGACATGAGGGAGGGCTACAGGAGGAAGAGGCATGGACAAATGACAAAAGAAGAGGGATAAGTAAGACTGTTTTTCAATAAATGGAACAATCTGGTGGGACGTTGTGTTATCTGCAGCAGCTGTCAAGAGGACTAGTATTGAATGTTCTAGGAAAAACAGTTAGTGCATCATGCCAGGCATTAATGACGACACAGCCATGCTTTCTTCACTGCATCGCATCCAACACTTAACAAAAGAAGCATTTTTGTTGCCTCTTTGATCCCTGGACAAACATGTTCTGCAGGTCTTTGATGTTCAATGCCTGCCTCCCCATGCCCAAGCCCACACACATGCACAGGCTATTTGGGCAGGATGGCACCTGCAGATGTCTGCAAAATATTGTTTGGGTGCAGATTAGCCTTTGGGGCATGGGGGTCTATCATCTGCAGGGCAAAGGAGTTAGAGAAGCCCCCTGCTTTCTTCCCAAAGCAAGAAAGGGGCAGCTCACTTCCACCTGTTCTGAGCCCTGTGAGAAGTATGCAGCGCCCGGTCACCCAGCAGTGACTTGCATATGACATCAGCGGGCCTACAGGTGTAAGAATGTACCCATTAGTTTGGTGCGTGTTCTCTCTGATGCTGGTACTGGCAAAGCTGATAAAAGGGAAAGAAACTGCATTACAGCGTGTCACTTCTTGGTCATCATACCTTTTGCTAACCCGAATTATTCATTTGTAATATTTATATACTGCTAGGCATACAGAGACTGGTATTCTTTCTAGGTCCATTAGAGAAGATCATTTTGGGGAATCAGCTGTGGATCCCGGGGTCCAGCCAGTGTGGCATAGTGGTTTAGAGTGCTGGACTGGGACCCATGAGATCGCCGTTCTAGTTACTGTATGTTTATGAAGCCCAGTGGGTGACTTTGGGCCAGTCACAGATGCTCAGCCTGACCTACCTCACAGGGCTCTTGTTGTGAAGATAAAATGGAGAGGAGGAGAAGTGAAAGATGCCTTGGGTTTCTTCCAAGAGATAAAACCTGTCATATAAGGTTTTAAAAATGCATCTTGAGCTTGATTCACTTAACTGATCTTAAATAAATATACTCTTGTGTGTGTGTGTTCTTTTGCCACAGAAACTTGTTCCTTTACTCACAGAAACAAACAGCACATGGGAAGGCCCTTATAAACAAGGAAGTGGCTTGTCAGGTTGTCTGAACCTGTTCACAATCTTGCAGTGACTCTCCAGATGTCTTGCTAGGGCATTGTGCCCTCTGCTGGTCTTCCAGCCAAACAAATTGGGCAGGGAAAGAATCCAAACAAGGAAGAGAATTTCTTTAATGGGGCCAGGGAAAGCTGATGTCAGTACAGAAAGCACGTGAGGTTGTGAGAGGCACTTGGATATCCACAGTGCCAAGAGGAAAGAAATACATTATTATGCCAACTTTTTAGACAATGCCTCTTCATGACAGAAAGGCAATAAAATATAAGAGATAATGAACTAAAACATTCCCATGCACAACAATTCACAGCCACAGTGAATTCTTATTGGTAAGACCAAATTGGGTGTCCATTTGTTTAAAAACAGACTGGAGCAATCAGATCTTGGAAGCCCATTTAAAAAGAAGGCACCCCATGGGCATTGCACAGGGAAACAACCCACAAGGGTGGGGCCATCTCAGAAAAGGCCATATCCCAGCTGTGCCCAACCTTTTTGCCACGAAGGGCTTTGCAAGTAATGTTGAGTCAGGGGCCCCACACATGCGCCCACACACGCATGTGTACACATGCATTGCTGATGCAGTTCATGATCCAGGGAGTCCTGGAAGAATAGTCCCCAAAGCTGTCCCCTAGCAGATACTGCCTGAGCCAACTGCTTCTCTTTGCCTTAAGGGTGGCTCTGGAGGGATTCGGCAATATCGGTGGGGACAGGGTCCCTGCGATGGGCATAGCCAAGGCTTTGGGCCCACAGATTGTGCGACTCGGCCTTCTCTCTTGTGTCTGCTAACTTAATAGCAGGGGGAGCGGATGACTTCCTCCAAAAAATTGTTCCTCTGCACTTGGAGATTTTATTGTGAGCTTTGTAGGAGCTATCCATGGTGCTGAACGCCATCCTCAAACTAGGATCACTACCAGGGAGTGCCACGGATAGGCTGCTCCGGAAAAACCCAAAATACAGTTGCAACAGACAAGGGTTCAGAAGAGTCACCAGCCACTTTTTAAGCTATTTTCAATTTGTATATTGAAATTGCCTACTGTGCTTTATTGCATTCCTACCTTTATGGTAACTTTGTATTTTGATTAACTGCTGTGAACTGAGAGCTCCCACTATTGGGTGGAATCGAAAGTAAATAAATAATAACCAGGCAGGAACGAGTGTTTCCTTCAAAGAAAGGGAAGGGGTGCTGCCATGCTGGAGAGGGAGAACAATTGAAAAGGACCCATGGCAAGGGGTCAAAAGTAGGAATACTGTCTCATGCAGCATTAGATTTGAAAGGTGCCTTCCAGTGTAACTGCTCAGAACCCTTGAAAGTCAGAGAATTATGGGCATTCAGTGGAGGGCAGAAAGATTGTGGAAGGGAGATTGACCTGTGCTTCCCTTGCCCTCTGACTCATTGAAACAGCCATTTTTAACCCCTGATCAAGAGGAGGAAGGACGGAGTGACCCCTGGGATTCCTGGGGGGGCTTGCTCCACCCCGAAACCTGCCTCACCTCCCACAGCATTGACTCTGGTCTCCCACTTGCAACTTCATTTTGTCCCATTTCATTTTTTTTCCTTATGGTCACTGACCAGCAAAAGTAATAAAAATAAAAATACAAAAGGGAGGGAACAAAAGGGAGAGCCAGTGTGGTGAGGTGGTTAAGAGCACAGGACTGGGACTCAGGCGATCTGGGTTCTAGTCCCCGCTCAGCCATGGAGCCAACTGGGTGACTTTGGGCCAGCCACAGACTCTCAGCCCAGCCTACCTCACAGGGTTGTTGTTGTGGGGATAAGATGGAGGAGGAGAATGATGTAAGCTGGCTTGAGCCCTTTGTAGGAAAAAGGCAGGATATAAATCAATCAATCAATCAATCAATCAAGATAAATATAACAGCATAATACAGTTCAGACAGTATCCTCACTCAGGAAGACAATGGCATTTTCCCATAATTTGCATTACAGTCTTTAAAAAATCAGTAACCTTTACAGCTACATGGGAAGATAAAAGGTAAAGGTAAAGGTTTCCCTTTGACATTAAGTCCAGTCATGTCTGACTCTA